CGGGCAAAGCTGCAGCCGCTTGAGGCTCTCTACAGGGCGCTCGGGCGGCTGCAGCATGGGGGGGGGGGGCGGCGGGGCTGGTCATGGCACCCCCCACCCTGCTGGCACCTGGGGCGGACCGCCCCCCCCGCCCCCCCTTAGTACGCCACTGGGGTAACTGCACCCTGACCACTTCATTGAAATTAAGTGGTCTATGTTCTTTTAGTGTTCCTTTAAGAGGAGGTGTTCTACAGAGTAAACCAGTGCTAGATTCTTGCAAGTAAACAGTGATAAGCAGATCATTTTACCGATTATATTTTCCAAAACCTTAAATCCAGTCAGCACCGTGATAGCTTTTTGGGTGTTTGAAGATATGTTTAGTCAGTCTACAAAACAACATAGAAATAGTATGGAGTTACAATAATGTAGACCAACATAGCTAAATTAAAGATTATGTTTGTCTTGTGAACATTTCCCACATAACTACATTTATATAGAGAGACACACTCACACAAACGCTTGATTCCGCATTCTTCTTTACATTTTAAATACACGCATGAAGATTATTTCCCCATTCATATATTTAGTTTGACAGTAAGACTGGAATATGCTTCTTCAATTCAAGACTTTTTAACAAACCACTCGTAACGTAATATGCCCTTAAACAATGACATTGCCAGCAGGAGTTAAACAGAACAACGCGTAGGCACTGCCAGAAAGCACTCAAATAATACACAATAAATCAAAGGATGAGTAAATGGTACATTCAAGGTGATCTTGTTATAGACATCACTTTGAATTCATCTGTACTGACATTTTTTTCCCCTTAAAATGTTTTTCTAGCGCTCTTTCTCCTTTGTATCACCAGCTACAAAGCCATGTCCTGAATGGATGCACTTACTGCATAGAAGCAAATCAGAGTCAAGCATTCACTTGGAGGTTTCCAAATTAACTTGAAGCACACAGGCAGACTGTGAAGCAGTGGTTGGAACAAAACAAAAAAAAAACAACAACTAGGTGCCAGAAATAGTGGCTCGACCTTAACGGCACTTAGAGCATGTTGTTGCAAAAAAAAAAAATAATAATAATAAAAAATAAATAAATAATATATATATATATATATATCTATTGTCAATAGTAAAAGAATAAACGACAAGGGGTGACTTGCAAATTTCATTATAAATGGTAATATAGTATAATATAATAACATATTTAATAAAATATAATATAGCAATACTATAAGTCCTTCTCCCTTTCTTCCACTACAGCATAACCTGGCTTACTGCTAAATAATGAAAGCTGTCTGGCTTGTACCAAAGTGCAGATGGGAATTTGGGAAAACTGCCCTGTCCTGTAAAGAGAACTTTAGACATGCTCAGTCCGCTCCCAGTTTATCTTTAGTAGAATGTCTGAGTTATACGTCCTGTGTATAACAGTTCTTACAATCTCAGGTTGAACTAATACTCAGACACTAGCCCAGAGGTAGAAAACCAGGTTTGCAGTTTAATTGTTGTGATTTTTATTTCTGCTCAGTCATGTGCCCATGAGATCCAGGGGGTTATGTGTTTTATTTTGCTCATTTATATTCTAATGCTATTTATATATATATATATATATATATATATATATATGTGTAAAACAGATTTAATTCATATCTTGTAATTCAAAGTTGAGTTGTGATACAGGGGTTAAAGTGACATGACTGATGAGTGCAGATAAGACACAGGTTTGATAGAAAATAGACAACATTCTTGCAGAGGGTCATACATATTTTTCTGAAGATCAGAGTGAGGGGGGGTAGAGGAAAAAAAAAAAAAAAGCAGACAGTGCAGAAGATAGTACACTCAACCTAAGATCAGTGGTGGGGGGGTCCACAGGCACCTGTGTTGGCAGCCGGCAGGGAGGGAGGATCTGGGAGCTCAGCCTGCAGCTCCTCCGGGTCCTTCTCTCGCGAGCACGGACCCTGGAGCTATGGGCTAGAGTTCACTCTTACCACTGGGACCACCAGGGATTCCCCACCGGACCACCAGGAATTAAGAAATATCCCCCCTCCTCCCTCAATGAAGGTAAGGGAGGGGGGACATAATGTAGATTTGTTTTAATTAAATTTAAAAAAAACAACACATAAAAAGGGTAAGGGGGCTCTTTTTTTATATCACACACACACACACACACACACACACACATACACTGCCCCCATACACACATTGCCCCACAATCACACATACACTGCAACTGTCACACACACAAACTGCCCCTAACACACACACTGCACCCCTGACGTACACTGCCACTCTCACACACTGCAAGCTTCACTCTCTCTCACACACACACACACACAGTGTCCCCCTCATGCACACTGCAGCCCCATTTCCCAGCAGACCTCAGGTAAGTTGTCAAACTGTTCTTAAACGGTTTGACTACTTACTCTGGGAGGTGGTCTCGGCACTATTGGCACCATAACCACTACACTGAGCTGTAGTGGTTATTGTGTCTGGATTATTTCTTTAAATAATCTACAAGTGCCCCTCCCGAGATCAGGCTCTGGATCCGCCACTGCCTAGGATGCTATATTGGGGAAACCACCCAGCAACTAAATGGCAGAATGAATATGCACAGACAGTCCATTTAACACCACAAAGAAGTATCTTACTGCACTCCTGTGGGACACCACTTTACCCAGCCTGGCCACTCAATGAAGTATTGAAAGGGGCTTTTAAAAATACCCAAGAAAGAAAAACTTTTGAAACCAGAATGATTAAATTGTTTAACAGGAAGAATAGAGGAAAAATATTGATTTGGGTTTCCTGTCCCACTACCAACACTTTACATGAACACTCCCCCACATTATCTTACTGTTCTGTCATATGTGTCAACACTTTAAAACGCATTCCAATATGTTTATTCTATCAATATACAAAGTACTATGTATAGACCTATGCTTTCCCATACTCTTATGCATGTATGCTATGCTTATATATGTGACTGTGCATTTATATTTGTGTATATGTGTTCATGTGCATGTATGTATATGTGTATGTATATGTGTTCATGCGTTTGCATATACATATATATATTTGTGTGTGTGTGTATGTATGTATAAAGTGTACCATCTTTCATCTGCACTGTCGGCTTGTTGTTTTTTTTCTCCCTCTGCCCCCTCAGTCTGATCTTCGGAAAGATATTTATGACCCTCTGCAAGAATGGTATCTATTTTCTATCAAACCTGTGTGTATGTATGTATAAAGTGTACCATCTTCTGCACTGTCGGCTTGTTGTTTTTTTTTTCTCCCTCTTCCCCCTCAGTCTGATCTTCGGAAAGATATTTATGAGCCTCTGCTATTTATTTTCTATCAAACCTGTTTCTTATCTACACTCATGTCGCTCTAACCCTGTATCACAACTCAACTTTGAATTCTATGTGTCATCTTGCTCAGAAATGCTTCAGACTTGAGAAAGGGAGATTCATCCTAAGGCTTGTTATTAAAAAATTATGTTAGTCCAATAAAAAAGGTATTACAAGATACAAATTGTATTTGTTTTTTACATCTACATCACTGGACTAATACGACTACAATCTCTCTCTCTCTATATATATATCTTAGAAGCTCCATCTTCTGTTAAATTTATATTACTAATTTAGCAAGTGACATCACAATGGGTGTGTCTGCTGAAAATGTGTCCTCTAATCCTGGCACTGTGTGCCTGCTGAAAATATGTCCCCCAATGACAGTACTGTGTGAGTCTGCTGAAAATGTGTCCGATGATAATAGTGTGGTGTGTCTGCTGAAAATGTTTCTCCTAATCCCAGCACTATGTGTGCTTGCTGACAATAAGTTCCCAAAATAACAGCACTGTGTGTGTGTGTCTTCTAAAAATGTGTCATCTAATACTAACCCACTGTGCCTGGTGAAAATATGTCCCCCAATGACAGAACTGTGTGTGTCTGATGAAAATATATTTTCCAATACTAGCCATGTGTGTGTGTGTCTGTTGAAGTATACTGACAGACTATCCCAGGTTTCCAGGTACAGTTCAATTATCATCTTGTCATGTCCCCTCACAATTGTAATAATTGCATATTTTATTATATCAGAGCAGAAATGGTATAACATTAGAAAAAGACGTTTATTGCATAGTGAGTAATGCACATTTTTTGATATTTCATGTAAGTCCAATAGATTAATAGGAAGGGTTTCCAGGAAAAGGTGGTGGAGTAAAATTCCATGGGTGAGGTCTGGCACCCGGTCATCGTAAAAGTTAATTGATTGCAAACAGGCTGGCTGTGGAGCTATGTTGTGACTTATGTATTCCGTATACAATGACTGCACACAGTTCTGTTATAAGGTTTGTGTATACTTGTGTGTTTAATGCACTGGCTGCATATAGGCAAGTTATAAAGCTATGTATTAACTTGTGGATTCTGGATAACTGCCAACACACAATAAAGTGACGGTAAGGCTTCTGATGTATGTACTGATTGGTTCACCTTTACATGAGACTGGTACATTTTTGAGGGGGAAAAAAATTACCAAAAATACTGCTTTCATGGCTGTAAAATACAAGATGGAAAATAATTATTAACAATGTATTTTATAATTACTACATTAAAAGTGAGTTTCTTAAAAACTGATAAAATATTAAGGTATAGTGACAATGTTAAACAAATATTCATGGCCATTTTACACTGTTAGCCCTCATGACCATTATGTGTCAGTTTAAAATAAGCACAGTCTATTATGGAGTATTGGAAAAAGAATGGCAGACAAGGGTGAAAGAGAAGAAGCATTCAATGAGGAAAATAGATGGTGAGAAAAGAGACAGAAGGAGGGAGTGAAAAGGAACGGGAGAGATGAGGTATAACAAGAACGCAGAAATTGCTGCAAGAGGTGGGATGAGAGTTCAAATGGCAGGGAGGAGCAGTTAGGTACCACAAGTCTATGGCAAAGCCTGTGGCCCGCTGGGAGCTTTCCTACAAAGTCAATGTGATACCATGCTTGTCATCTACGACTGACTTGATTGGTAATGTCACTGTTGTGGAGTGCAGAGGTAGTTGTTGTTGTAGGCACTGGAGTGATCAGTTTTCCTAGAGGTTTGGAAGCAGTTGTCAGAGGGTTGAGTTAGGTTCCCTTTTGTATTTCACAACTTCAAATTTCTCCACAGAGCGTTTAACCCCGATACTGCAATGTAAAGTATAAGGGGTAGAAAGCCAGGCTGATTGGTGGTTGAAACGTGTACATTTTGTTCATTAATTTCCAAGTTCAAGTTTGATAAGGCAAACAGTCTTTGTGCAATGTGAAATTTGCCTTGGTCAATGATATCCAACAACAATGGATCCGTCCTTGGACAAAGTCCTTTATCGGATGTGATGTTTGGCTAATTAATGAGAGAAAACAGGGACATTAGTCAATCTCAGGGACCATAAGGTTATGATTTATTGCATTAAACAAGCCCTTGGGTTTATAATGCTCTTTCAGAGGAGCAGCAAGTAAAAGCCTTTTTGAGTGTTTTTAAATTACTAGATGTACACACACATTACACAGAACATTTGACATCTGTTTTATTTCTATATTATATAAATAGCTTTAGTGAAAATCTTACAAATACACCAGATATGATTGTCCAAAAGATATATAACATAACTAAAAAAAAAATCTATAAAATGACAATTTTGTTTTGCACTTATAGATAAACTATATAAAAGCAAACGTTGTGAGGCAGACATGACAGCAGACAAACCAACGTTTTCAGATGACTTTCAGATTACTTGAGGCTGAACATATAAAGTGTAACCAGTTTAAAGGTGGAGGTGCAATGGCAGCGTCAGTGACGAGTCGTTAGTAAACAACAGAACTAAAAACCACACTTTCTACATGGAGTATAAAATGCTGGAACACATAAAACTGTATTCCTAACACAACAGTGTCCCTCTGTCCACCCCCGCACAGTGACTCCTGGGAGCAAATAAAATGTTTTAAAAAATGTTTTTCTCTTGCCTGATTCCAGCTCCAAGTTCCTCTCCTACATCAGCTGATGGGGAGAACCTAATACACATTCGTTGCAAGTGCCGTGCGCATTAGGCTTTGCCTATAGGAAATCAATGCATTCCTATGGGGATTGGAAGTCTTCATGTCTTTCACAGAGTCAAGCTCCATGAAAAGCCAGGAAGCGTCGCTAGTGGCGGCCTGGTAGACAGCCACTAGAGGCAAGCTTAACCCTGCGATGTAAACATTGTAGTTTCTCTGAAACTGCAATGTTTGCAGCTGCAGGACTAAAATGACAGGGATATTGTATCCAGACCACTTCAATGAGATTAAGTGGTCTGGATTCCTATGTGTTTCTTTAAAAAAAGCAAACTCCCAAAAAGTTCTCTATGAAAAATGTCAACACTGTTTTATGTTCACAGTGATTACGGGTATCATCTATCAACTTTTCTCTTTACAAACAAGAATGTGTCCTCCTCTGGGGATTTTGAAATGGAAACAGGGTCTCATTTTAAGTTGCGAGTCCACCTATTTTTAAGTTACTAGTGCTTGTGGTGTCACATGATTGCCAATTTTGAGGCTATCCTGCGACATAAAGGAGGCAAATGCTGAAGACAATATATAATTATCCTGCAGTCAAGTGGTTAATTTACACTAAACGACAGTAGAAGCATTTTTTGGGGCTTTAGTACTGATATGCAGCACAAAGGTCGCAAACGATTCATTATAGGTAATTTGAAAAAGTCCACAGGAGCATTCTTAAAATCACTACCTTATGTGTCAGTACCGATGGCTCTATAAAAGAAACCTGATGTGTATTTTTCCCCCTCTCTTCCCTGTCTCACTAAATTTGAGAGTTTAACTTTATAATAAATTTTGATGAAGACATAATTTCTTCCTGCTTTGAAAAATATATTTTTTTACATTTGACATTGTTCCATTGTATTACACTGCTTTTATTTTCTTATGTCTCCTGGAGACATACTAACTTTTTTCTCTTATTGTTATCTTGCTTTTATGAACCCTGTGAGACTGTTAATTACCTAATTATGACGTACTTTCTTTGTTGTCATCTAAACAAAAAACAAACACACACAACAAACTGTATCTTTTTTCACTAGATAACGTTCTCCAGACCATCACTATTTCTCATGGCCTAAGTCGGTTTCTTACTCTTGAGGAAAATTTTAAAATTGGTTAACATTCAATGTGGTTTTTATATCACTAATATGCTGTGACTCACTAAATATGTACATTTGTCAATGATTTTCTTTGTGTATCACCATGCATAAAAATCTAATAAAAAAATAAAACAACAAACAACAAACAAATTAACAAAACACCCAGATGGATCGGTTTTCAAATATGCCTTTCTCCTCAGTGGAAGTACATTTTTACATTAACTCGGAAGCTTAAATGCACAGATAATTTCTAAGCTATTTTGAATGAGAGAAGAAAGCTATTTGCATCACTCTTCCCCTAATCAAGTGCAAATGAAACTTCCTGCTTTAGCCTGATAACAAAATGGAAAAATATCTGTTTATGCTAGAAAAAGATTCCACTTACACAGCACTGTTTATAATGCTTACTGTACAGTGCAATTCTATATAACTGTGAAACACACAAAAAAGTCAATATAATGGGCAAGCAAAACTGTTAGCAGATATATATGTTTTAAGAGATAATTGAACTGAAAAATGTTATGCAGACCAGGATCTGTGCATCTTATTCAATGTCCCATCTGCAATCCCAAAATTACATGCCCCTTCTCACTAGTATAGCAAAGGATTGGCTTATACTTTTATGTAATTAGTGTACAAATGTCAGCTCTCTAGGGATGATTTAATAGTGTCCATTTAAACGTGCATGGTACATAATGGATGGGAATCTTTTACAAGCAATAAACGTATTTCCGCTAAGTGAACAGTTCTTCCATTGAAATCTATTGGTAAATTACAATTCAATTATCATAAATAAGATTATCTCGTCCAAAACATATTATGCTAGGAAGCCAGGAAAACGTTCTGTGCAATTAAAGGGACATGCAATGCAACACTTTGAGACAACAGTCTCATTCAAAAGCTTTAGCTTTGAATCAGTGTCCTATCCTTAGGAATGCTGCAAAAGAGCAGTCCTGACAGATGGCATGCACAGTTGGAAGATCTCTTCTCCTTGCAACATCCTGGCAGAGGGAGAATAGAGAGAGTCAGATCAGTGTGATTCATGCAGAGCGGTCTCTGGTGTCGGGTTTTTTCTCTTCCTTTTGCATGTTGATGCCCTCTTTCTATCATTAGTGGAATAGTCTTAAATTGAGATGTCTTGGTATGAAAGAGAGGCTAAAGAAACTCCCCCAGTTTAAAGGTGTGCCAAACAATGCAACCTAACAAAGTTTTTTTGTTTGTTTTGGTTTGTATGGTAGTCTGCTTGCTAATTTAAAAAAAACAAAAAAAAACAAAAAAAAAACAATTGTCAAGTGATGCATGTCTCATTAACTAGCACAGCTTGTGAGCAGACTCCAATATTAACTTACTATTTTCAGCATATTGTTCCAAGATTTGCAACATAAAAACGGTGATCCATTTTGACAAACTTGTGCTTAGCCACAGGGAAAACGGGAGACAGGCTCTAATAAATCAAACAATTGATCTTTACATAACATTTGATCTACATTGTTTGCAGAATAGCACATACACCAAATCCCTTGCCTTCTCTAGAGCACCCTGAATACGTTTGTGTGTAATAAGTATATCACTACTTACCAAAGCATTAAGTGCTGGCAATAGCTGAAGGTCACAGCAAGCACCAAGTATTGCCAAAGTAGATTCTGACAACTCTGGAAATTAAGCACACAATAATCATTCAGTGATAGTTAGCAAATGGCTTTGATTCCCAAGCTGACCTAAATATTACCCGCAAGCACATATTTACATCAATATTTAAATACCTTATCCACTACCCGGAGCATGGGACTCCCATGCCTGAGCAAAAATTCAGATTTTAAAAATTTTATATTTTCTTAGTTACCCAGGTAAATTATTCTGTGTCTTCATCAAAATGTGATAATGAAAGCAGGAAATACTAGGTATGTAATAATCCTTCAGCCAGTGTTAATTTGTATTTCCTGATCAATCATGACAGCCTTTACTCATGGGTTAGCTCCTCCCCTCACAGCAGGAAGCACAGGAAATAGAACTCTGAAGCTGGTATAAATAGATCCTCCCTCTTCCCACCAGGCAGTCTTTTTTCCTGTCCTTTGCAGCAGTTTGGAAAGCGTCTGCTTATGCAGACCTAGATTTTTCCTTTATGCTCACCAGGCAATATTTTTGTAGTTCTGCCAGAGTTCAGCCTCTAAGCCCTGAAGACCCAGAAACGCACTATTGTAAAAGTGGCTAGCCTGGGTACCCCCTTTAGTGACCAGGGGCCGGCCCCAACCTCTCCCTCAGGGGATGAAAATGGTCCACTGCATGCCAGGGTTCAGCCTCTTATCCCTGAAGACCCAGCAAACAACACATATGTAAGAGTTGCCAGCCTGGGTAGCTCCTTAAGCAGCCAGGGATCTGACCTATCTCTCTCCCTGAGGTGATGACAGCAGTCCACTGCATACATGAGGCCCAGCCGAGTCTAAGCCTTTATCCCTGAAGACCCAGTAAACAGCGCTTACATAAGGTGACTACCTGGGTATGCCTCTTCTATGTATTCCACCCTGTCTGGGGTTTGGTTTAAACCTTCTCCCACTGGTGATGAAGAACGGCAAGTGGGGTACAGATGGAAGCCTATCGTTTCAACAGTTTAGGTTGTCAGTTCTTCAAATCCCCATTTTTGCTGCTGAAAGACAGGCCTGCAGCTGTTCAGGTAAATGCACTAGTAATTTAGATTAAAACTAGTATAGACACCAGTTCTTTCAGTCAATCCCAGCTGCTTACATTTTAACAAATAGGTCACATTACCTAGGTAAAGTGCGGAAAACGCTTGATTCCGCACTTTAACTGAGCAAACCAGTTAATCTGCAGATTAACTGATTTCTCACTTTAACTGTAACATATATATGCTGACTGCAGATGCACAGTTTAGTAGATCTTGCTGATTACAGATGCACAGCTTAGAAGATCTTGCTGATTGCAGATGCACAGCTTAGTAGATCTTGCTGATTAAAGGAGCACAGCTTAGTAGATCTTGCTGGTTACAGTAGCATAGCTTATATATTGCTGGTTTCAGCAGCACAGTTTTGGCTATTTATTGCTCCCATAAGTAGGTAACTCTGAAGCAATTACCTGACTGTTTTAACTGGTATGTTTTTCTTTCTAAAATCTAATTTAACTGATTTAAAAGCTGATGATATTGGCTTTTTGTTTTTACCTGTTCATAATTTTAGTAATCATTTTATTTTCTATTTAGAAAAATTCACTACTCCTGGTCTGGTTTATAATATTTATTCAGATTTTAGCTCAATGCTCTGGAATTGGTTTAAAATATTCTTTAGAACTGAGTACATTTCCTTAAAGCATAATCTTTATAGGATGAAGAATGTGCTATTTGTTATATTCAGTATTCTGCTATTTCATCCCTTGGGGAGCTGGAGTTTGGCAATCCCTTTAATATATGTCAGGGGTGGCATGCTTTTGGTTCTTAAGGGGTTAAGGATCAGAATTTCCCACAGATTTCCCTGTTGTGAAGGGGAACATTATAATTTCCTTTCTACAATAAAATATATTATTTTAGGCTCATATGCTCCATGTAACGTTGATGCTGAGTATTGCAAGTATTTTAATTGACATAGGGAGGTCTTTCCAGTCCACATACCGTTCTACCAGCTTTACTAATTCAGGTAAAATTCACCTGCTACCAGAACGATAAAGGAAATCCCTGAACATAAAGGTTCCATTACGGACTTCTGTTCTGATATTTATTGGGATTCTTCTAGGTGTCCTTATATCTGGCATTTGCAACCAATATGTGGCTTTAAGCTGTTGAATCATCCTGCATAATATAATATTGTAGCTTTTTGATGAAAAACATTTGGCTGATGTGTTTTACATGGTCTCTGTACCTAGCTCTGTGTAAGTGATGGTCACTCCTAACATTGCATTGATGTAATACTTGTGGATTATATGCTTGGATTGGTGTTAATATATTTGCAGATAAAACAAGCTGTAGAATGATCTTATTATCACCAAAGGCTCTGCCATAAGTACTTCATTACTATCTGAAGATAAGGTCAGAGTAAGTAGGCGGTTGTTTGTTCTCATAAGGATAACTGAATATCTTCTACTATCCTGCTTATTATGTGTCTGTTGCCACAATGGATCATGTGCCTCTGGATACCACCTTCTCCTCAGTATCCTGCCTATTACATATCTCCTACTTATATTGCACAACATCATTTTGATTCTACTGTTGTGCATAATCTGTTCTATTTACATTATTTTTTACTTTGAATGTAGGTACTGACGTGGTTGGCCTACATTGCCTACTTATAATTTAGTAGTTGCCACAAATTCTACGGTTCATACCGATATTTGTTTTAACTAATCCGTATGATTCTTCTTGCCTTTGTCTTGTAATATCTATTTGTGTTATTGGATTCTACCGTTCCTGTAACTGATCAATCCTGTATCAATTCATTCACAGTGTGAGGTATGGTTGTGAGAATGATTTTTGCAATATGTAGTCATTGTTGCAGTGTTTTAATAACAGACTCTCTTACTTCTCTACTAGGCTCTGCCTCTTTCAGACAGGCAGATATTGATTTGTTTTCTGTATCTACAATTAAGTAGTTCACTAGGCAAGATGAAGCAGTGTGAATCGTCTTTAATAAATACATCCAGAAAATAGTAGGATTCTCAGTGTAATCCTCCCCCTGTTTAATAGCATGGTGTGACTGTTCTCATCCAACAGTATCTGCTTGTTCCAGTGTGATCTCTGGAAGTTATGCCTTTGTCAAGGTTCTGATTTGATGAGGCCATCCATTTGGTTTTTAATTTATATCAGAGAAGGACATTATCTTCTATTGTTGACATTATAGATCTATAATTTCTAGACCGTGTCTGGGTTTCATGGAGGTTCTCTAATTTTTTTTTTCTTTTATCGATAACATGATGGGTTCCTTATTTCTCACGAGAGTTTGTCTTGTATTAGTCTAGCCTTGTTCCTTCTCTAGGTTTGGCTATCATGGCCGTAATTCCTATCTGGCTCTATATTTATTCAGGATATTTCAGACATTTGAATGCCAGGGGGTTGCTGACCTAGCAGCCTCAAGCGTAAATTAACTTGAACAGATGTTATGACAATATCCTATTGATTACTTGTTTGGCTTTTTAAAAGTCTTTTAAGGTTTATGCAGCTTAATAATGTTTTTTTTTTTTATAACTATTAGGTGTTTTTTAACTCTATCCCTCCCTCTATATATATTGATTGGGTATTCCCCATGAGTAAATGCTGCCATGATTGATCAGGAATAAGGAAAATTGTTTCATACTTACCGTAATATTCTTTTCCTGATCATTATTCATGGCAGCATTACGTTCCCACCTATATACTATAAGTTGTGAAGTTAGTTACAAAGACTGCCTGATGGGAAGGGGGAGCATCTATTTATACCAGTTTCAGAGTTCTTTTCTTTTCTGAGCAAGAAAAGAAAATACGGTAAGTATGAAAACATTTTCCTTATTACCAAGAATGGCTACACTTTGGTACTACAGCTACAATTCCCTTGATTCTCAGCCTGTCATGTTTAAATTACTGGCTATTGTTTATATGAAACAAAAACAATTTCTCATTTTTGGCATTAGGAGTCTGTTTCTGTTGCATCACGTCTCTCTTTTACTATGCTGGAACTCTTATTTATGATGTGAACACGTTTCACTGATTGCCCCAAAGGTAAGCTTACTATTATCAAAGGCGAAACAGACCATAAACAGATGATTATTATTGATCACCTTGATTTTTTTTTAAACTCCCACTTTTATTGTGCCAGCTATAACACTGTTTAAATGTTTTATACTTGTATTTTTCCTTCTGAAAGTATTGATTATTCTTGAGCACTGTACAGTAAAAGAAAAAAAAAAGCTACCAAAACATCAAGAAAAAATATGTTTGTGCCACTTTACAGCATCTCCCCAACAAACAAAATCAATTCTAAAATACGGATCACAAGTATCGATAAAGTAAGCTGTGGCATGGAGATAGCACTCATAATGAATGTTAAAATGGTACCAAAGCAGTGTACAGGATCTGGAAGATTTATGCATACACATTAACAACTTGTCAGCTTGGGAAGAAATCAACATACACAACACATTTATAAACTTGACGTAAAATGTACTTCAAAAATTAGACATTAAGTAAAATCAGCCTTTGGCAGAATATTTATAAAGGAGGTTAAAAAAATTACCATTGAGAGAACTCAGGAGGATATGCAAGGCTGCAAGCACATCCTTCTTGGCTGGTTCTATAAAATTTCCATTCTGAATATTGTATCCTGCAAAATGCAGAATGATCTGTGCTTGTTTCCTTTGAGAAGACTTTAACTCATCCAAGGCTGTCAAACTGGGCTTGTAGCCTGAACAGATCTCGTCTACCTATCAAGGCAAGAGTGAAAATAATCATGTACTCATCATTAGTCAGTGCTGAGGGGGAAAACATTGCATATGATCTCTGTGTACAGATAGTTCTCTGCTTGACAGAGCAGAAGGCAATACAATTAGCTACAGTTAAACTGCACAAAGGCAATGATACAACTGGGGGAAAAGCAATAATTATGGCCTTAAGCAACCAGAGGTAGTTTGTGTCGCTGCAGTAGAGCATAAAATATATAACGGACCTCAGTGCCAAAAGACTGAAGTCAATTTTGGTTTAATATTTATTTTCACATGGTATATACAATACAATACCTTTTCAATAATTATTATTAGAGACGTGGATTTATTTTTTTTGACAATCTTTATTTAGTATCTTTTTCATTTGAAGAGACAAGTAACAGTCAGTAGCATTACAATGTATCTATATCCGAGTCAACATCTGAATAAAGCAAATAAGGGAAGAAAGGTAACTGTGCGGCTAACCCGTGCACTTCTAACAGTTGGCTCTACCCAGTGTACCAGCCTGAGTTCAGGCCTGCGGCTGCAGCCTTGTCAGGTTGCTAGGAAGGATATAAAATTACCTCTGCTGTATTGGTGTTTTTGGTCGTCTCCCCACCATGTTTTCCCGGCTGCGCCCTAGCCAACTGTGTTAGGCGATAGTACGTCGAGAGACATGGATTTTAACTAATGTGTTGGTCCTTTGAATGTTAAATCACAAAAGTAGGAGTGAATTCCATGAAGATGGGTAATAATGGCTTTCCAGCCTTGTGCATAAGAGCATTTCTGGGAAGCTCCCACACTACCTGCGTAGAATGCTCTCCCCAGCTGTTCCCACCCCCTATAACCTCCGATCCAGTACTAGCACGATATTTAGCATCCCGCAACACAAAAATAAAGTGGCTCGATCCTCCTTTTCCTACAGAGCACCGCAATTATAGAATAACCTCAGGGACACAGTCAAATCTTCATTCACTCTAAAATCTTTTAAGAGATCTATGGCAATATACCTCAGCACAGAATGCACCTGTCATGGTTGAATATATTTATTACCTGTTATGTATTACATTTATGTGTGTATGTATGTGTATATATATATATATATATATATATATATACACATACATATATTACATACACACACCCACACACATACATATATATACAGTTTGTATATTGTATTTTTGTAATATTGTATCCTATTGTAACAATGCAATGTTTTGTGGACCCAGAACATACTTGAAAACAAGAGAAATCGTAATGTATCCATCCTGGAATAATATATTTTATAAATAAATAAAAGTTAGCCAGTTACGGATTTGGTTTATGGTACTAGAACATGCTCTGGGGTACAAGAGCTTTTTAAAAAACAGATGCAGTACTAGTATAACAAGACGCTATATTAAATAGTGTATGTTTCTGTTGAATTCCAATTTTAGAACAACTGCATGTAATTCCAGCTTACGTTATTCTATAAAAAAATTTCAGAGGTTCCTAAGAGTGAGGCCCTCCAGCTTTGCAGCAATTGCTCAAATCAAAATTTTTAATCAATTCCAAGCAAACAAAATAAAAAAATAAAACTTTTAAAAGGCATTACAACAAGAAGAGTACACAGATCCTTGCAACAGAGAGGTTTTAAAACAGCTAAAAAGCTAATTGATCAGATTTACAGAAAATTTAGACATTTTCTAGATGAAATAACAAGATCTGCCCCACTTTCCTATAGGAATAGTAAAAGACAAAAACAACTATTCTGCCCGATATTAAAATTTATTTAATTTTTTGTTCTGTCGTTTCTTTCAAGTTTATATTAATAGCAGTATTGATTGAAACAAGGTTGCAGCATTATGATCTTGTTCTCTCAGGTGTCTTCCTATGTTTTAAATAAATATTTGAGAAGTATTTTTTTTATACTGATCTGATCTATAATTTTCATTTTTTGCGTTCTGTGGGGTTGTTACTAAGAGATTGTAAAACAAAAGTCAACAAATTATAAACGAGCACATCCAGGTACCACTTTGTCATTGAGAAGAATGCTAGTGTTGTTTAATTTTATATTTTATCTCTTGCCTGACCAAGCGATTAACAATTTGGAGCTGTGGGCACAAAAGTTTGCAGTCAGTATGTATTATGTGTTTTTAAACAAAAAGAAGGTGAGGAGTAAGGATCCCTTAAACATGGGAGACAGAACAACTCACAGCTAGTACCCCTTGTGGAGCAATAAACAGTGCACTTAACTCCTGTGTATTAAACAGATTAAACAAAAAATAATAAAGTTTTAATGTAGTCCAAAAATAATAAAAGTCTGTAATACACTCAACTGTTACAAATGGATAAAAAAGAGGACCTGGAGAGTCACTCTGGGCTGCACATAACTATATACTGTGCCTGGATACTACGTTGCCACAAAAGTAGCAACAGTGTAAAAGTAGCAAAAAAGCTACTCGTAATAGGCACCAGTGCAATAATGTGCATAGATAATTGTGCTAGCAAAACAGGTGAGATCTACACTTACGGTCCTAGAAAAACACACAAACAAAAATCTCCACTATTGCATATCAGGGTTAGGAGTATAAAGTATAATATAGCGTCCTAATGTGGGGTATAAATATGACTATTGGCCTCAGCCAGTCTAATGACAAGTGGTTAAATCGAAAGGACAGAGAGATATAGAGTTAGGAGATCGAAAAATAAAGGTGGGAAGGTAGTGAAAGTATAATTCAGTATAGGGCAAATCGCCCAAATCTGACCCCCCACAGTTGTAGCAGAAGCCCAACGCGCGTTTCGGCGGTAAAGTCCGCCTTTCTCAAGGGTAGAGTAGTGTGCAAGTTCCTTATTATTATTATTATTGTTATAAGGGTTAGGCCCTTTTTAGTACCCCTGTAATCCATCTTGGTGTATCCTTTTTGCTGAATTTGTCAGCTAAAGGAACACTGTATCTATATTTGTCTTTTATTATGTGTTTTTAATTCACTTTGCACTGAGCAGGAGGTCAGACATATGTGTTTACTCCAATTGTCAAAGTACATTTTTGAATACTAATGGTTTTGGTAAACATGGATAGTTTATGGGTCTCATTTGCACACGTTTGTATTATCATGATTACTAATTAAAGAGTAACTTCAAGTACTACAGCCACATCAGTGTTTTTAAGTGGTTATGGTGCTGGGAGTCTGTTAGTCCAGCCTTTCCATATGAAACTCTATACATACAGAGACAAATATGTCACCTTCTGGAGGTGTAACTCCATGTCTGGCAGTGCCATTGGCCAGTCCCGTGTTAATTTCTTAGCAGACACAAATTCATTGGCTGAGAGGTCCCTTTAAGTTAATAATAGTTGGAGTAAGCCTTCAGATCAATAAGGCAAGGGTCTTAATGCACTATTTTATTTACAGTTTTTATCAAGCAAATATGTTTTTTTTGGGACACAATTTTAGGCATAATGATGGAATCCAAGTGTGATTATGTATGACTAAATCACATGATCTAAGAAAAGTCATGCTGACTGTTACACAGTCTTTAACTAATAGAGCAATCTAGTGTTTTTCTACTGGTTTAGAAGTCATGTTTGATATTTCACTATTAGTGTCAAATAATTCACAAATCATGATTTTAAAAATCTACTTTTTTGAATGTTTAGTTTTGATTAGTTTTAAAGTTTACATAGACACATTTTTGAACATTTAAAGACCTGCAAAAAGCAGGCAAATTGATCACAGATGTCACTCCATTATGGAACATTGTTAGCCACTGTTCAATTACAAGTGGGTGACACAGCACCGACCTGGAACTCCAGTACCAGGTCCCTGGTTGACACGACATGTGATGTACAATAATGAAATGACCAACAAACGGAAGAGGAACCAAAGACAACAAAAGAACAAAACTAAAAGGGAAATAACAGGATGGTGAACTAAAGCATCTCTCGACTTCTTATTAGAGAAATTGCTGTGCCCTGGGGTAGTGGGATGGTCCCTTCCTGCCTGCCATATAAGCCATTCAACCATACCAGATTGTTTCATATTTGTCACTTGTCCCTAACATCATGTTGGCCATTTCCTCATACACACAGATTTTGCAGATTTGATCTATTACCGGGAGAGCACTAACGTGAGCAGCTGTCATTGTATGTGAGATAAGGTGTTGGTGGCTCCAGGTGGAGTTATCTGTGAATATACCCAGCAAACAGAGGGATCAAGTGGGATTGTTATCTCCGTGCACAAAAAAGCAATTTTTTTTTATGCACACTACTATAGAATCCATATTTCCATTCATGATGAATTGGTACAGCAAAGGTAAATAACACATTTGCATTAATGAGTGTTTACATTGTAATAAAAGAAGATAACAATATCAACAGTAAAGTGTTAGCCTCTGTGAGAATATCGACATTGCATCATCATGATAGTTTGACATTTAGCACCAAGCACGAGGATTGGGATCTGAGGTCCCATCGTTCTGACTACTACAGTGAGCCACAACAAGGCTATTCTTATCACAGCTTGCAGAGATACAGCTCTGTGCAAACCAATGCACTACCTCACTATTACCTCTGACAGTAAAAACACATAGAAACTGTGCCTCGCCTCCAAACACCGAGGGGTCTTGGGTCTTGTGAGGGTTTAATTTTCCCTCTGGTTCCAATCGGTAATTCTGAGCACTCTACATTAGAGAAGGCTCTAAAAAATATATGATATGTGTGGAAGGTCAATTAAATATGTGTGTTGGCACCATAACAATTTTATTAAAAGGAAGTTGTTCTGGTGCCAGGAGATCCCTGAAGCCAGCTTATCTTTAGGGGGTTTAAAACCATCAACGAGCAGTTTAGCCCCAAAGTCTTAAATCCAGCTCTATGCTTCTGCTTCTTTGAGATTCTTGAAAGAGGAGGCCTTGGACAGGTTTTGCTGCTGATTGACTGATTAGCTTCTAATTCAAACAACGGCTTGATATATATTTTAATCAAGTAGCTTTTATGAATGGCGCAACGGTGGACGTTCTTAGCCAATCAGAATTGAGCAGCGGTGGACGTTCTCAGCCAATCAGCAGCACCTCTGTCCAAGGCCTCCTCTTTCAAGAATCTAAGAGAAGGAGGACAGAAGCAAGACTTTGGGGTTAAACTGTTCGTAAACTGTTTAGCCTTAAAGGTAAGCTGGCTCCAGGGACCCCCTAGTTCCATGACAATTTCATTTTAATGTAGTTATCATGGTGCTTGGAGTGTTCCTTTAAGAGGGCAATTAGGGTTGAACAGAGTAAAAAATAAACTTACTACATTAATGCACCTACCAAAAACACATTCATGAAGCAGTTAAAATTGATGCAATTAGCAGAATTGGCACTGGGATGGCACTGCCAGATAGAAACAGAGAATCTGACGGCAGATAAGAACCATTCGGCCCATCTAGTCTGCCCAATTTTATAAATAATTTTATTAGTCCCGGCCTTATCTTATAGTTAGGAAAGCCTTATGCCTATCCCACGCATGCTTAAACTCCTTTACTGTGTTAACCTCTACCACTTCAGCTTGAAGGCTATTGCATGCATCCACTACCCTCTCAGTAAAGTAATACTTCCGGATATTATTTTTAAGCCTTTGCCCCTCTAATTTAAGACTATGTCCTCTTGTTGTGGTAGTTTTTCTTCTTTTAAATATAGTCTCCTCATTTACTGTGTTGATTCCCTTTATGTATTTAAAGTTTTCTAACCCCCCCCCCCTTTCTCGTCTTTCCTCTAAGCTATACATATTAAGATGCTTTAACCTTTCCTTGTAAGTTTTATCCTGCAATCCATGAACCAGTTTAGTAGCCCTTCCTGGAACTCTATAACGTATCAATATCCTTCTGGAGACACGGTCTCCAGTACTGCGTACAATACTCCAAGTGAGGTCTCACCAGTGTTCTGTATAATGGCATGAGCACGTCCTTCTTTCTACTGCCAATTCCTCTCCCTATACAACCAAGCATTCTGCTAGCATTTCCTGATGCTCTATTACATTGTCTGCCTACCTTTAAGTCATCAGAAATAATCACCCCTAAATCCCTTTCCTCAGATGTTGAGGTTAGGACTCTATCAAATATTCTGTACTCTGCCCTTGGGTTTTTACGTCCAAGATGCATTTTCTTGAACTCGTCCACATTAAATGTCAGTTGACACAACCATTTTTCGAGTTTACCTAAATCATTTGCCATTTGGCTTATCCCTCCTGGAACATCAACCCTGTTACATATCTTAGTATCATAAGCCTTGTCACTAATAAAAATATTAAAGAGAATGGGTCCAAGTACAGATCCCTGAGGAACCCCACTGGTGACAAGACCATGCTTCGAATATACTCCATTGACTACAACCCTCTGTTGCCTGTCACTCAGCCACTGCCTTACCCATTCAACAATTTTGGAATCCAAACTTAAAGATTGCAGTTTATTGATAAGCCTTCTATGTGCAACAGTGTCAAAAGCCTTACTGAAATCTAGGTAAGCAATGTCTACTGCACCACCCTGATCTATTATTTTAGTTACCCAATCAAAAAAATCAATAAGATTAGTTTGGTATGATCTCCCTGAAGTAAACCCATGTTGTCTCTGAACTTGAAATCCATGTGTTTTTAGATGTTCAACAATCCTATCCTTTAACATGGTTTCCATCACTTTCCCAACTACTGAAGTAAGGCTTACTGGCCTATAGTTGCCCGACTCCTCCCTATTACCTTTCTTGTAAATGGGCACAACATTAGCTAACTTCCAATCTTCTGGGACTACTCCAGTTAACAATGATTGGTTAAATAAATCTGTTAGTGGTTTTGCTAGTACACCACTAAGCTCTTTTAATAATTTTGGGTGTATTCCATCAGGTCCCATTTACTTATTTGTCTTTACTTTTGACAGTTGAAATAGTACCTCTTCCTCTGTAAACTCACGTGTAATAAATGACTCATTTGTCCTTTTTCCTAACTGAGGTCCCTTTCCTTCATTTTCATCTGTAAATACTGAACAAAAATATTCATTGAGGCAGTTAGCTAGACCTTTATCCTCTTCTACATACCTTCCCTCTTTTGTTTTTAATCAAACTAATCCTGGTTTTACTTTCTTTTTCTCATTTTATGTATCTAAAAAAATGTTTTGTCCCTTTTTTATTGACAGTGCTATTTCGTCTTCTGTGTGTGATTTGGAAGCTCTTATAACTTGCTTAGCCTCTTACTGCATTATCTTATAGAGCATTCTGTCTTCCTCACTCTGTTTTTTTTTTTGTATAATTACTAAATGCTAACTTTTAGTTTTTTACGATTTTGGCCACATGTGCAGAGTACCACAGTGGTTTCTTTCATTTTTTGCTTTTACTGACAAGCCTAATGCAATTTTCTGTTGCCTTGATGATGCCAAAATGCTTTTATTTCCTGTCTGTGTATCCATAAAATATTATGTACGGGGTCACTGTACATTTAACTGTCATTTTATTTAATGCTTCTACCATCAGTTCAATGGAATAAAGATATAGTAATTGTTTATAAGACTGGTGCTTTATGAGATAAGGGAATTTGTCTGAAGCTGATAAAAAATGATGGAGTGATCTTACCATGGATTGTAGCAGAGCAACTGTCTGAACATCGTATAATATTTCACACATCGCTTTATACAAATCTAGACGCTGGGCTTCAGGAATTTCATCTAACACCAAAAAGGGCTCTGCAAACTCCAGCAGATCTTATAATAGAGATAGGGGGGGAAAAATACAACAAAGTGCCTTTTTACTAAAACGATAAAAACGTATATACACATCATAAGGCATTCATACATCACTGCACACAGCATCCTTTTTAAAAAAAGATGAGAAGCATCTAATGGATTTGTTCCTGCACCACTGTACAGAGGATTTTGTCTTAGTCAAACATTTTTATGCCATTGCTTTCTCCTACTGTGTCTGGTGCATTTAAAGGCTTTGTTCATTTTAGCAAAAAACATTAGTACTGTATTGATAAAACTTCGCTTTGTGACATATTTTAAACCACTGCCAGAGCACTGTTTATTATTTAAATGTTTCAATGTCATGATGTAATATAAAATGAAACATAGAAGAATACACAGGGAATATTGCTTTTATTCATAGAGATTTAATACAAGGCCTCCTGTAACCAAGGGAAGGCTGTTAAATCTTGATTAAACATTAATGGGCTAGTACAGATCTGCTAAAAGGAAAATTCCGGCATCAATACAGCACTAATTCATTTGATGGATTTTAGCCTCATTAATATGCTGCATGTTTTGCATACTCATATCTTAGCCATGTCCCCATTCTAGAAAAACACAATGATAGCACCGAGTGACCTGAAGGGCTAAAAGCAAAGCAACCTGCATTAGAAGGTCACCCGAGTAGACACATAAGGGAATATTTATCAAAGTGTTCTGAAAAGTAGTAGTTACATTTCATCATAATTTTGATAATACTTATTAAAGTGATCTAAAAAGTGATGTTTTTTTTAATTGTAAATTCTTTAAAGGACCACTATAGGCACCCAGACCACTTCAGCTTAATGAAGTGGTCTGGGTGCCAGGTCCAGCTAGGATTAACCCATTCTTCTATAAACATAGCAGTTTCAGATAAACTATGTTTATAATAGGGTTAATCCAGCCTCTAGTGGCTGTCTCATTGACAGCCGCTAGAGACGTTTCCGCGCTTCTCACTGTGATTTTCATTCAGCCGATGATGACGAGAAGGAGGAGGATAGGAGGAGGAGAGTCCCCCGCCCGGCGCTGGAAAAAGAGGTAAATTTAACCTGTTCCATCCCCTAGAGCCGGTGGGAGGGGGACCCTGACGGTGGGGGGGACCTAGAGACCCTATAGAGCCAGGAAAACGATTATGTTTTCCTGGCACTATAGTGGTCCTTTAAGCTTTCACAGAATTTTCAATTTCTGAATACTGCTAATTTACAGTTGTGGGGAAAAAGCATGAAAAAAAGGTGGGAATATTCATAAAACAATTGCATTGGCAAAAAAAATATGCATTACTGAAAATGAAGTTTAGGGTGCAAAAAAGTAACCAATAAAAAATTGGACAAATATAAAAAATTGCCCCAAATATTAAGTGAAAATTAGTCAAAAAAGCGTTGGACAAACTTTCTCCCATTGTGGGGATATCACTGCCTGCCTGTTTCTCTGACTGTTTGTAGCTTAATTGTGGATTGAATGAAGCAGCTTTATCGTGTATTACAAGTGAGCAGACAAAAGCAGCTACGCAAGTCAAACATTACAAACCATGAATTGTTAACTGAATATAACACAGTGGGAGGAAACCCTGTGGTAACTGCTGTTTGTCCTGTGTGCAATTGTTGAACACAACTAAGCCTTGCATTGTTTATACTAGATACAGCTTTGAGGAAAAATAAATTTAAAAAAAAAAGATCTTTATACATTTTGTTAATGCACATTGTTTAACTTTGGGATTCTCTGGCACTCTCGGTTCCATCCTTGGTGTGTAATGGTTAGCCCACGTTGCCGCTCTCCTCTGTTCGCTTGTAATATACAATGAAACTGCGTCATCTAATCCACAAGCAGCCTCCCTGAAGCGGTCATACTGCAAGCTATAAAGCAGTACTGACTGGTGCAGCATAGATAGACTTATACAGTCATGCAAGAAGTTACCTAGCCTGCTGGACCGTAACTCCTATCATGCTCACTGAAGTCTAGCTGAAGTTGATGTAATGGGAGGGTGAGGCAACTACTTGCTAAACAGCTGTATTGTGATATAACTTCAACTTCACCTGTTTAGGTTTAGGAAAAGGTTTAGGAAATATGTGTACATTTTGTTTTGTGAATACATTTTTGTGTTTATAATTTTTTTGCAGCAATTCATTATATGCATTAAAATTATGCATTTTATCGACAGTTTTCCCGTTTCCACTTGTCCCTTGGATTTTACTTATATTGAATTAATTCCTGTGTTATACTCACTATAAAGCAATGATTCAAAATGAACTTAAACACAGTTTGCATTTCATTAAGAGAAAAGCCAAAGTACACTGTAAGCTCTACAATTAATATAATTAAATAATTATTTATGCTAATTTGTTCAAAACCGTATTGTAGAGATATAATGTAGTACTACCATGCTACAGTATTGAATGTTTAAAGTCTACAATTTATTTGGAAGCTATCTGCTGTAAAAACATATAGTAGGTTTATTCATTAAATAGGTAACAGTGGAAAATTGGCAACGGGAGTGCAAATTATAGGCCAAAATTGCGTAAATGGAAGAAAAGAGCAGGAACATGTTTCCCATTCATTAAATGAAAGGTTTGATTTATGCAGTTCTTTATATTATATATAAAATTATATATATATATATTTATTATTTATTTTTAAAATATTTATTTTAAAGTGCATAGACGGTAGTTTATATGCTTGGGGAGCAGAAGGACTATCTATATGAGGTATTTTCTGCTCTCCCTATCACTCAATTCTTTGGCAAAGCATCTATGCCATATAATTGACTGACAGGTGGACAAATAAGTTATTTTGAATAGTTTTTTCTCCCAATCTATACTTTTTAGAGTAAACCTGCGAGCACAAGGTGTAGCTGAAATGCAACACTCTTTAAAAAGAGCACAGTTATAGGTACCATGGCAGGTGTCCTTTAAGGGATTCACTCACTAGCTGAAAAAATGTATACAATCTTGGAATTAGTGCAACTGGTATTCAGCAATGCACATTAACCACATAGCTCGTACAAGGATTTTAATTTCATCAATAAATCACCGCTTATGGTCTCCATTTTTTCAATGTCTGCAAAAGGACAGTATTGGGACATCCCTAAATTCTAAGGGACTGAGGGTGAACCTGCACAGGTTTTGGAGCAATTTGAAGCTTTACCAAACAGCTTTGGCAATGTGTGTGCAATGTGCGCAGTGGACAGTGCACTACAAACAAAACGTCAGATTGAAAATCTCTAGAGAAGCTGAAATGGATTAACCACACCAGGTAAGTTCAAAGTTTAGTTATTATGTTTTTCTTTTTAGTATGGAATCACTCTAAATGGAAATATTCACTATTCTAGAAGGTACATTATTGAATATAACTTTTTCATGTGGAGTTGTGTTTTTTTTTGGTTTTTTTATGTTCACTGAAAATTTTACAACCAAAAGTACAGTTCAGCTCCAATAACAGTAAAGGGTAAAGCTAATAATAATGATTTACAGGAAGTGGAGATGGAGACGTAATATTAAAAATCCTGAAAATTTAACGTTCAGCAGGAAGCTTGATTTTACCAAAAGATACTTATCTAAAATTGGTAGATCGGCGTAGAAAGGTGCAGAATACATTTTTGTTGTTGAAATCTCATACTTTAAGAATAAAACTTATGCCCACATTATTCGGTACCTTGCTTTAAGAATGTTAAGGAGACGTTCGATTGGACAACTTTTCTCTTCAAGTCTAGATCTTTACCACTATCTATGTCATCGTAATCATACTTTGATAAAACATTTTCTTTTTCAAATCCTCCTTGTTTCTCAGACAAAAGACAGAATTCTGCCAAGAAAAAGATAATGATTAAAATAAATCAAACAAAACAGAGGAACATGTGTTTAATTATATAGCTTGTGTGCTCAACATTTAAAACCAATAAAAAATATATTTTTTCCAATCTAACATATTCAGGGTATGATTCATTTTTAATAAAATACACTACTGTAGTAAAGGTCAGTGAGCTAATAATGCAAAACCGTAGTCACGTATCCTATGCTTGCCTGAATTCTCAGCTAAATTATAAAACATATACAAACAAGCAGGACCGTCACAATCTTGGGCCCTGACCTACTGTTCTAGGATTGTTTGAAAGTGCTAGGTTGATTAGTGCCTCCTTCCACACACACACACATCTGACATCCATGTTTTTACAGTAGAATAAAGGATTCGGTTTACAATCTTTGGGCTTGGACATAATTGTGCTCTTGTTACTCTGGGTTTCTTCTCCAGTGTCCCAGTTCTAGGCATGACAGGGAAAAGCACCATAAAGCTCAGTGAGAGAGTGCATCATTAGACTCTCACACACTGCACAAAATAAACTCTGGAATGTTAAGCCTGTATGAGACTGTTTCAACAATGCTCTGTACATTGGCAGCTTTAAGGGGGCTGGCTAGCATGGTTGGCTGACAAGCAACCTTTTCGGTTGGGCCTGCCCCATTAGATCACCAGCAGAACTGGATTTGTAAGTAGGCAGCTGCTTATTAGAATCTGTCTAATAAGGGTATCTACCCTAACTACAAATATGAACTTTCTACTTTTTTAAAGCTATATTTTGGTGTACATTTTCTTTTCGGTAATTGAGGGCATTTTTAAGGGTCTGTAAATGGCACCTATATGCACCTGACATGTAAACCTACCCTAATCACTGTCACTACGCTTGCCTCTCCTGATTTCATATCTTCTATGCCTACATACATATTAACATACTTGTTATCTATATTCATTTTTGTCCCGTGCGTCACTTAAAGGAAGGCTACATTTATGTATAATTACAGGTGAAACTGCTTTTGCAGTGGAGGCTTCAGGCAGTTTGTCTTCACATATATTTCACTTCCGTTCAGGAGGAAAAAGTACTGGCAGCAAGATTGTGCAGAATATCGTTTATAGAGCTACTGAAAGGCTTTTATTAAAATCACACCCTGTCAGATGGCATGCTGTTTCCACGCGGCACGCACCACAGGAAGATTCATACATGACCTCACCAAATGTGGCAGCTGCAGCGTAAAGAGATGGAGGATACTGAGCCGCGCACTTTACAGATGGAAACTAGTTACAGAGAAACATTGATAAAGACAGCTGGCGCATTACTTCCTATCTACTTTCAATCGCTAGGCACATAACTCCTCCCATATTAAGCTCCACCCGCATATTCTCTTGACCAATCATTACAAATAAGAATTAACTTATAGCTTTAACGCATGGCTTGTCCAGCACAATGGAGGAGGGGAATACTACATCCTGTATTCTTAAGACATGCTCCGTACACTACTGATCGTATCTTGCCTCGTGCAACCAACTGATCGATACGTCAGCATATGCACGTACACATGCCACGTGGTAATCTCGGCCCACTAAATTTATTTTTACCGAGATTCCACCACACATCCTTGGGATATTACTTTAGCCCAAGATCCAGGGAATGTTACTATTACCCAATTTAATGTTATGTAATTTTATTAGCCCACTGAGCTATCTCAACTCATCTGCTACTTACAGTCAGTTTAAAGGTTGAACTCACTAAAGGGTCTAACTTAGACATACATATATTGTGATACATTTGAACCAACTGGAAATAAAATGATGTTTGGCTGTGTGTTTATTAACATACGGATGAATAAAGATGGTCAAATACAGCAACTTAAGATTTATCTTTCTTAGTATTGCTTTGCATTGGTTATTAGAGTGCCTTTGAAATGCATTACCTATGCAATGCATTAAAACAAAAACATCGTGTCAGTTCCAATCCTTTAAAAGCTTGCTTAGTTATTCAAATACACTTGCCTTCCACAGCAAACACTTAAATATTTTCCATTTGATGTTTTTCCTTTATCTGGAGGTTTGTGGAGCTGCGGCGTTGGCTAAGGGGCTAACCTTTTACAGGTTGATGAAATTAGTTCTGCATGTGTGCAGACAGGGATCAATGCAGTTCTTCCATTGTTTGATATAGCTATGTGGACAAACATTGCTTCCTTCAGAAAAACATCATCAATCACTCTGATGACTGTGTTTCTTTTCTGGACAATCCGTTTTCTCAGAGAATGTTAACAGTCAGTCAAGTCATCATGACTTACAGTTACAGGTTTTCGAGATTTAATAGAATGTAGGCAACAACATAACAAAGTCTCACAGAAACTCCACCAATTTGTAAAAGGTTGAATATCAAAGATCAAATGAGACAAATTCATTGCTGATCATCAAGATGAAAGGAGTGTATAACACAGGGATTATGTAAGGTGGTACATTACAAAGTATACATTACGTAAAAACATCTGCTTCGTTTTTTTTAAATAGATTTACACGAGATGGATGATGGATGAAGGGGAAATAATGCTAAAGATGCAATATCCAGCATGTTGGAGTACAAAGAATATATTTGAGAAGAAATGAGCAAACAGTTCTTCCATATAAGCGATAATAATACGTCTTCACCAAATAATAGGTATTTCAGGGATGTAGCTGCAGGGGTGCTGGATGTTTTTAATTCCATGGTATAAGAATATGTGCAGTTATTTACAGAGAAGGCTCTGTCACTGCTGTGCTCACAAGGGAGACAAGGGTGCTTTAATACCCAAATGTTATATTTTCTCAACAGGGAATGGGTATGCAACCTTTCAGTGCTTACGTCCCCCCTCTTCTCAAATGTTCTTTACAACTCAGGTTCAGTTTATATGTAATATTATTTTTCTAGCTGCCATTATTATTTATGACATTTATTACTATTTTATTTATTTATTTATATTTATTACTATTTTCTCGTATTATTTTATTTATTATTTTATTTACTACGGGTAATCACCAGTATTCAAGATGACAAACCTTGAAAGAAAACAAACAAAAAAACAACAACAAAGTTTTAAATGAGCCTTTATTGCTTGTGAAAATATTTTAAATAAGCTAACCCACGTATCCTTCAAAATGTTAATTCTTTGAAGCGGATGTCATTTTCCAGTATTTCATGACATACTGATTAAGGCTATGTTGAAATTTCATTGAAATTCCATCGCAATCCAAAGATATTAAAAGACAATTTAGGGACTTCTTTGTCTTACAGTAAAGCCTGAAGTTGCCAAAAGGCAGAGTTCCACCATCAACTTTTGGCAAATCCCAGAAGCAGTAACAAATGAGGGCTGTGGGATTTAGGCTTTGTTTACAGAGGGCACGGCGGTCTTGCAAGATCCTCCTTCATTATTATGATTATTATATTATATGAGATCTATCGCAATATACCTCAGCACAGAATACACCAGTCATGATTAAATATATTTATCACCTGTTATATGTTAAATTTATATATGTGTGTGTATATATATATATATATATATATATATATATATATATATATATATTGTATTTTTTGTAATATTGTATCCTATTGTAATAATGCAATGTTTTGTGGATCCAGGACATATTTGAAAACGAGAGAAATCTCAATGTATCCACCCTGGTAAAATATTTTAAAAATAAATAAATACATTTTGTAGCGCCAACAAATTCTGCAGCGCTTTACAATGGGTGAAGTGAAACAGGTAATTGTAACCAGACTAGTTTGACACACAGAGGGCATCCTGGGAGACCAATTAGGAGAGAATTACAGCACTCGATACAAGAGATTACTAGAGTGTGAACAAGCTCCTTGGCAGCATCCTGCGTAAGAAAGGGGCGTATGCAGGCAATGTTTTTAAGTTGGAATCGAAAGGGTTTTAGCAACAGATTGGACATGAGGCGCAAAGGTGAGGCCCGGATCAAAAGTGACTTAAAGATAGGGAGCTTGAAAGGATGGGGTGATGCAGGTACCGTCAACCTGCAGGGAGAGTGAAGGAGAAGGATCGGTGTTATGAGGAGGAAAAATAAGAAACTCAGTTTTAGAGAGATTGAGCTTCAGAAAGCAGGAGGGCATCCAATCAGAGATAGAAGAAAGAGAATTGGTGACATGTTGTAGGACAACAGGGGAGAGGTCAGGGGAGGAAAGATATATCTGGGTGTTGTCAGCGTACAGGTGGTAGTGGAATACAAATGAATAATGAGTTTGTCAAGAGAGGTAGTATAGAGAGAGAACAACAGGGGACCAAGAACTGAGCCTTGAAGGACTCCGACTGAGACAGGACGAGGAAAGAAAATGCTGTTGGAAAGAGCCACTAAAGGAGCGTTGGGGAGACAGGAGGAGAACCATGAGAGGGCTGTCTCACAGAGACCAAGAGATTAAAGAGTTAGGAGAAGGAGGCCATGAACAACAGTGTCAAAGGCAGCAGAGAGGTCAAGAAGATTTAGTATGGAGTAGTGGCATTTGGATTTGGCTGTGATTAGGTAATTTGTTACTTTAATAGGAGCAGTTGAGTGGAAGGGGCAAAAGCCAGATTGAAGAGGATCGAGAAGGGAGTTGGACTTTAGGAAGTGAGTCATACGAGTAAAGACAAGTCTTTCTAGAAGCTTTGAGGAAAAAGGAAGGGGTATGGGACGATAGTTGGAAGTGGAAGACAGGTCTTGGGATGGCTTTTTAATGATGGGTACAGTAGCATGCTTAAGGGGAGCAGGGACGACACCAGATGAAAGAGTGCAGTTTAGGATGTGTGTTAATGATGGTACAAGACAAGTGGTGAGAGCTCTGATGAGGTGGGAAGGTACTGGATAAAGCGGACAGGTGGTGGGACGAGAGGAGAGGAGAAGCGCAGCCACCTCCTATTCAGTAGCTAGAGGGAAGTCTTGGAGGGTAGGGGTGGTATGGTCCAAGTGAGTTTGAGATAGAGTGGTGAGAAGGGGGGAGAATTCATTCCTTAACTGTTTCATCTTGTTAGTAATGTAACATGCAAAGCTATCATGTAAGTTTATCTATTGCGGTTGAGGACTTGACATCACCTTGCCCTATGTTGGAGAGGTTCACTGTATTGGGGCAGGAGGCTTAGAGACCACGGGAATTGGTATACCCCTGGTTCTTTTATATTAGAACTATTTAGCTTGGTGATCCCTTAGGTCACTGCATAACAGCTATTATTTACCCAGTAACTTGTGTATAATATGAAAAGGATGAAAATAATAGCTAGGCACCAGACCAGCTATAATGATCTACCCTTTCTCACTTACAAGGTGTTACTCACCAAATCCCTTCTTGCTAACTAGGAATCTTAGCAAACCCTGTTAATTATTGTTAGTGTGGATCTCACATTCTCAACGATAAATACTGTGAAATGTTAGCCTAGAAGAAATTACTATATAAATATGGATCAAATTATATTATAAGAGCACACTGATTCGTAAAGTGTTCGTAAAAATATTGCACTGTAAAATACCTCATTCAATTTTATCGTTTAACATGCAGATTAACTCTTTGCTTTGTAAAGATTATAAAAGATACCACAGCTTACTTACCAAAGCGGCCATCTTGTTTTACATATAGTTCCACAACACCAAAAGCGATAACAGTGGGAGCAGGTATTTCAAGAAGTGTGTTTTCATCTTTCATAAATTTTCCATTTTCATTAACAGACACCTGAGAAATATTGTTCCATACATTAAAATTATATTCACAGACATTACGCTGCTTTTAAGGACTGAGCCCACAATTACACAATCAGACAATGGTGGCTAGTGGGGGGATTTCATTCTTTAAAAAAAAGATTTGACATGAAACTCGACTTACTCTTTGAAGCATTCTGGTGAAAGCTCGAAAAGAGGCAAATAGGGGAATCCCTGCTGCACCACTAACCTCCGGCAGCTCAGCGATCCCTGCCGAGGCCTCCAAGAAGGAACGGTAAAACACCCAGGCGCCGGAGAAGACCACCCAAGCAACAAGCTCGCAGAGCCCCCCCGCAGAGACTCTCTCCCACAGAAGGACTTCCACAGCCCCACCAGGCTGCGAAAACCCCTAGCTCCAATGCCAATCGGGGCTTCCTAAAATCACCAGGATTTTGCCTAAAAGCTACACGGAGAGAGGGTGGCGGGCGAGGATGGTTGTTGGCTGCAGGACCTGGAACCCGAGGAGGTTCTGGCCATCTTGTATACCCCATCCTTAGTCTGGATAGAGACTGTCTGCAGTGGCCCGCATGCAGCATAGGCCGAATCACCGATCTCACCTGACTGCTGCTCCCAAGCTGATATCTGAGCAAATGCATCCGTCGACAACTCTAGCTCTTCGCCTGAACGCTCCCCCAGTCTTGCCGCAATGGGAAATAATGTGCATCAGAATTGGATTTGCAGCTGGCACCTGGACAGATGCTAGGATACTGGTTCAGCTAGCTCTTATACTACTATGTTACCACAATTTCTATTACTACATGCTTTACTCTATCTGCCCTTCTGTACCCATGCTGATGTTGCCACCAGTCTTATGCCACCACTGTTTTTAAACCTACATGCTTTTATGTGGACACATCCTACATTATGTCGAAGCAACCCAGGAGTTACCTCTGTTAGTAACATTACACACGCAGATTTAACCAACTTTCTCTAGTGAAAATATTTCATGTATGCACACCATGTATAAACCCTAGCAGCACACTAAGCTTAACTTGTTTTCTTATTGTTTATGTTAACGGTTAACCAAGCATGCCACTCTCTACCACACAGTACCTAGCCTGACCTAAACTACGTAACTCTCACGTAACAGTCTTACCTCACACATATACTATATTTTACTACTGCGTTAAACCAGTTATGTTACGCTTGTCCATAAAACACTAAAACTGTGCAATTACTCATGCCACTGTTTTGCCTGTATGACTATGTACGCTGTTCTGGTGTTTTCTGATGCTGTGTATCTACCTGCACAACAAAAACAAAACAAAAAAAGATTTGACAAATGATTTTTGAAGTAGACTGTTTCATTTACAATTGAAGTTAGAGAGGAAATGCCCCCTCTACAAATATGTACAACCCAAAAGTCAAAGTTTACAATATAATTTTGATTTGCAGCATATAAAGGCTGTTTAAACAGAATGTGGCAAAGTACACAGATCACTGGCATCCAATGATGCTATAAACAAGTGAGAACAAGCATCTTACTTGATGCACATAATTGATAGAAGATGTCCACATCATGTGCATGGGGCATCATGTGAAGATGTTGGCTCCTGTACTCCAGATAACACTTCAAAGGCCTTCAATACTGTGGTGAATGGAATCTAAACTGTCATCAACCTAAAGATAGCTAAATGAAGACTATGCACAACTAAAATTAAAATATGGTTTGAAAAACTATCACACTAAGTAGAGCTTTTCAGAGATGACATGTTACTATTAGCACAAAAAAGGATGCTGCAGTCTTCATTTATCATAGCTAAGGTTCCTGGGAGCTGGTGTCTCTGCTGGAGAGTGGAAAATCTGTGTTGTGTGAACATCCTTTAACTTATTTATATCATCAAGTCAAAGGTGAAAGTTACTTGTTAAATTAAAATCGAAAGATATGTCAACTATGTCAGTGAGCAACACATGCACCTAATCGCAGCAGGCCAGGAAGGCTTTTAATTAAAAACTCATCTATTTTGTTGTGTTTTAACTCACCGGTAACGGTTACTAAAGCATTTACTGAGTGAGGGATGTAGCATCAGAGGCATAGCATTTCCGTCCAATTTGGTTTTCTTTCCTGATATAAAAAGTTTCTGTACCAAACTTTAACAGACAAATGACTTGTCTATTGTACCATTCTCAGCAGTGCTTCCTACAACGCACAATAAAACTACCTGGGTCTATGGTTTGTGGATAATAAAATGAAGATATGAAGAAACAGGAAGACATAAAATGCTGTAACTCTTTTATACAACTTAAAATTAAATTGTCTTCTACTCTCTCTCTTTCCATAAAGCCTTTCTTTGTGGCTTTTAAAAATTATTTTCCCCTGCTTTGCTTAGTAGTTATGAGCCTACCAATGATGAACAACCCTGGCACCCCAGATCAAAAAAATCTACATGTCCAAGGAACATCACAATCTACTTGTCCTGATACAAAATACTAATAATTACAAAGACTGTGGGCCTCGCCAACAGCCCTGGGCATTGACAGCTCTACTTGCTAAACTCTGAATTTTTTATTTTTTTTTATATTTAATGGAAAGCGGTGGCACAAATAGGTGATCTGGTAAAATCCTCTATGCTTCTTGTAAATCCTCTAACTTTGTAGTCACAACATGACTATTTTGCCTTAGTTTTGACATTTGAATTTATTTTGCACAATTATGGAGTTTTGTGACTTACCCCAAATGTCTCATCCTCTACCCTCTCATAGTCCCTTCGTCACAGTGTGTGTTAGGTGTGTGCAGTGAGTGCTGACTATGATTGGTGTGTGCAATATGTGTGGTATGTGCTGGTTGTGATGGGTGTTTGTTCTAGCGGTCTATGATGTGTGGTGCCAGGCTGGACTGGGGAAAAAAAATTATGCCAGGCATTTTTGAATCACAGCAGCCGAGTGAGAAAGAGGCAAGGGCCAGAGAAGGGGTGTTTTGTCATCACCAATGATAAGCATGCTCCTTCTCAAAGTGAGCATGTTGGTTCAATGCTCTTCCACGGCAGTCCATGCGCAAAGCCCTGCTGAAGCACTCTCGTATGAGAAAAAAGCTGTAGTGTATGTTTTTATACATGATGCAATGTGTGATGGGACTGTAGAGTGTGTGTGTATACGGGATGTAGTGTTTATAGGGGATCTAGTGTATAGTAGTGCAGAGTGTGGGGTGCAATGTGTGTGCTTGTGTGAGGGGTGCGATGTGTCTGAGCAGTGCAGTTTGGCAGTATGTAAATGTGTTGGGAAGTATATGTCTATATTGTGTGTGGGTGGCAAATATATGGAAGCAAATAAATATTTATTTTTACTATTAAGAAAATAACTCAATAAACTTTATATCCCCCATCTTTTTTACAGGTATAGTTCATTCAGGTTTTTTTTCCACTTGCACAGTTTTAATTGGTGTTTGAAAGTAGAGGATTGCACAAATGTTAGAAGCTATTGTTTACTTGCCTTGTATCCAGTCCCAGTGTCGTGATAACACGTTTGCTGCAGCTTCTTTTCTCAACATCAAGCATGATGACCTCATTCTGACTTTTCATCCAATCAAATGCTTCACAGAGAAGCACTTTGGCTGAAAAGTGCATGCATGGGAAACGCCACGCTCAGCCAGTCTTTTCTATGAAAAGCATCACAGAGCACTCTACATCCTTCTGCAGTGCATTAGGACATTAAACGTCAAAAAAGAGAGTCTGACTGGGTTGTAGGTGCGGTAGCCCTATCTTGTGGCTGTTAGTGTAAGGTGTGTAGATCGCACAATGAAAACTTTATGTTATCTCCTTGCCACTTGAGATGAAGTGGTCTGGGTGAGTATAGTGCTCCTTTAAATTTCACCGGCTGCGGGTTTGACAAGAATTTGATGTAAAATAAATTATCTGATTACAATAATCCTGAGGTTCAAGGTTTTCTGAATCCAAAAAGACAGAACTTTTTTACAAATTTAAGCAGAATAGCTTTGAATTCTGCTATGCTTTTTAATGTTTGTTGTGAATTACGGCTTAAAGGAAGATAATATGGCATTTATTGCACAAATGTACGTGAGTGCTATTTTATTCCAGGAATGGTAGATGTTTATTGTGGGTGGATAATATTTCCTTGATATGAACAATTTTTTCTTCTGAATTCAAGTAGCATTTATCAAGCAAAGCACTAATAGTTATACTTACGCCTTGTATATACTTAACTGCTCTGATGTAGCTTACCTACACCAGTACAGTACACATTGTGTTTCTTGTGTCTACTTTACAAGCATACAGTTCTGCAGAATCTTTCCTCAAGGCAATTATCACGAATATGACATTATTTGCTGACCTCACAATGAATCCACATTATATATATATATATATATATATATATATATATATATAAAAATACAAAAACAGGATGCACTCACAGGTCTTCATCAAAGTGAAAAAATGGTGTTTTATTAATCCATTAGATGTGTACAAAAATCAATCGACGTTTTGACCCTGACGGGTCTTTTTCAAGATCATTAAATACAGATCATAAATGTGTTTATATACAAAATGTAAAAGATAACACTTACCAAACAACGAAGTGGAGTGAAGTGTCTCTGCCCGTTACAACCCGGAATTGAATGGGAGCCGCCCGTGACGTCACGTGATTCAGACGCACGGCGGAATGAAGTGGTTACCATAGTGATAGTAAACAGAGTACCGATCGGGTACAAGCAGAACGCTATGGAGGACTATCAATAGATTGTACTAAAAGGGAATAGTGGCAATTAATGCCAGAATATGAGTAGACCGAAGAACCAATGAAAAAGTGCAGCCCATATAAAGTGAAAACATATAACACAAGTGTAGTGACTAAAACATGTGAAGGCTACTCAGAAAATGCCTAATAGAACACATAGTATTAAAAACATAGCAAGGTCGCACAGAATAAGTACATACTGCTAATTATAATAACAATCATCAATTTACAGAAGAACATTAATCTTAGACAGAACATAATACTGTTATGGATCGGTAAGAGCTGATCACGACAATAGGAAAGAAGAATAAAATGATATATACTAAACAATTAGCATATGTTAAACAAAAACATTGTATAACTAACAGACCTGTATTGCCACACAAGACAACCTGTCGTGTGTAACATATAATTATTGCATATATCCAATATGTATTCAATGGTGAACAATAATGCGAGAATTCTCCATAAAAAAAGGGACCATGTCAACTGAAACAACAAATGTATATATTAAAGACACAGCCACATGTTAATGCTGTGTACATATGACCTCATGCTCTAAAATTTGTATGATAAATTTTAAACAAAACCTAATCATATTGTGAATGGCTAAATGGTAATGCTAATAATGGAATAGATAGAATCTACTAAATAAAAACATAATGCAGCTAGCAGACCTATGTTGCAAGTCGTTTGTGAGGTGTAGCGTATGATAACTGCATACATCCAATATGAGTTAAGTATTACAATACATAAATTCTAAATCGTGGGAAAATCCTCAATAATCAACACAAAGAAACGACATGAGAGCCTTGGCCTTGGCTCTCATGTCGTTTCTTTGTGTTGATTATTGAGGATTTTCCCACGATTTAGAATTTATGTATTGTTATATTTTGTATATAAACACATTTATGATCTGTATTTAATGATCTTGAAAAAGACCCGTCAGGGTCGAACGGTCGATTGATTTTTGTACACATCTAATGGATTAATAAAACACAATTTTTTCACTTTGATGAAGACCTGTGAGTGCATCCTGTTTTTGTATTTTTGTATATTTTTGGCGTTAAGGATATAGCACCCAGGCAAGATATCTTTATATTTATACAAGGAGAGTGCCAAGCGTCCACTTCTTTATTATATATATATATATATATATATATATATCTATCAAATTCCCCTAATGCTCTTTATACTCTGACCACTCAATCAGCTCATAGTATATACATCAAATTCCTCTAATTCTGTTATGTTGTGACCTTAGATTCCACACACAGTACATACATAATTCCTCTCCTAATACTAATGCCAACATCATATTCTGGCCTTAGAATCCACACACAACATATATATACACCTATTTTCTAATGGTGACATCATGTAGTAACAATTCCCCTATGGGTATAGGCAACCTTCTGCACTGCAGATGTTTTGGACTACACCTCCCATGACTCTTTGCCAGCATTATAGGTGTAAGAGCATTATAGGGGATGTAGTCCACAACATCTGGAGTGTCAAAGGATGCTTATTCCTGGCTATAGGCAGCAGTGAATTCAGAGTTCAATGCATTTATTTATTTAATAGTTCGTATATAGTGCTCTTATTCAGTGAAGTTTACAAAATCTAGAAATTATTACAGATAGGTGATAAATAAATAGATATAGTGACATAAAAAGGAGTAGAGAACCTGACAGTGGATGTTAAGCAAACATCTGCAAACATCTGCAAACATCTGCAGCAGTTTTATACAAAGTTCTACGGTAAAAGGCACGTTAGCTTACAATTTAAAAGGACAATGTGCATTGAACAAAATCCGTTGCTATAAGACTATAAGACACATCATAAACAAAATATGGGCACTTAGTGGTCTGTAAATGAAAATGGAGTAGGGGTGGTGGTGGTAGGGATGGATTACAATATAATGCAGCAAACATTAGTTACGGGTGGAGTGCACCTATGAATACTGAATGAAGCTGTTAGGTGTGCCTGCCGGCTACACCTCCTCAGCAAGTCTGGTGGCAAAGAGGCACGGGGAACAGTTTGATAATAACAGAAACTGTGTGATGTGGCATGTTTGTGTGATGTTTGTGAGAATTTATTTACCCTAACTTGCAGACAATAGGTCAAAAGAAGACAGAATGAAAACCACAGGATAGATACGAATTTAGGATTTTAGTGTGGACACCCAAGAGAGAGGTAAGAATATTCTGAAACAAATCAAAATCAAGAAGTATCGAAAATTACATACAGGAAACGTGAAAACCAACCTAATTCAGGAAAGTACTGAAATCAATGAACACGCTATTGGGCTAATTAAGACAATGATTGGTGTCCCCTTCAGAGGGCAGAGGGTTTGAACAGTAAGCCCAAGTGGGCCATGGCTAAGTTGATGATTGAGAGTCCAGTGACAATGATGTATGACATCACTCGGGAGCAGAGAAGCACAAGAAAATGATTTGGTTCTAGCAGAGTGCTTGTGATGGGTCACAAAGATGGAACTGAAAGCTATAAAGGGGTGATTTTATTGCAATGAGAATTTTAATGAATGACATTTAAACTATGGCATGTACTTTTTCTTATTTTAACTCAGTAGCATTCAAAACATTTTCCACAGGTTTCCTGGCGTCAGTCTCTACAGCAGAGATGGTTAAAAGGCAGCACCCTTTTGCTGACCTAGCCTTAATTTCTACAACAGCTGGTGTGTGGTGCAATTTGTCAACAGAATATACAAAACCAACAATACATCAATTGAGACGGAGAACGGAGAGAAATCCAATCTTACCTTTACCACCTTTCCTTTAATACCAATATGACCACCAACTGCTTCCCCTGCTTGAGTGTGCTCCGTCATCACACATGTTTGGGTGGTCACTATTTTTTCTTTCAGGACACACAGTACATCATTACGATTCTCATGGAGCTGGGAAATAAATGGATGCTGCATTTCGATTCTCCTAAAAATGAAAGACAAAAAAAAAAAAATGAAATATGTCAGCATTTTTTCAGTTTTCCTTTCCTTATGCCCATTGTATTTTAGATATATATTATGCTATCCCCTTGCCTTTACTTAATGTATTATGTTTTCACCCTTGTGCCCGACCTCATCATATCTGGACACAGCCATTTTGTTCTCCTCTGCCAATGATATCTGCTCTTTGACCTCTTGTGGAATTCCTTTGACTGATGGGTTGTGGGTAAGTGTGATTGGTAACTGAGATAGAACCTTGGTCAAACTCCTCCTTTGTCAATTTTGTCAACTTTCCTGCTATACTTAAGGAAAAGGAGTCCCTATTTTATGAAAACTAGGGCAATCATGAAAAAAATATAAGTCTATTCAGACACAGGGTGCTACATAAAAGTAGGTCAGATTAAATTTATTTTTGGTGACATACAAATGCTTTAAAAGACGGAGTGGTGGATATTCTTCTTTTTCAGACTAATCTGTCTGCATGGATGTACCCTAAGCTATGCAAGGAGGGTACTTTTCCATTATTGCAATATTCAACAGCCTGATCTGCTAACTTCACTCCTGATTTTGTTTCCTTTTCGATAACAGCAAAGTTCCTTCTTCCTTTATGTTAGTCTGTCTTGTCCAGAAAAGCAGTTCTAAGCATTTGGTTGCAAAATCTAAAATAGACTTAACGTATTGTCATGCATTCCAAGAGTTTAGACTAGCCTGGCCGATATGTGCCTTCTTAATCATCCCACAGGTTTCCTTAGTCTAGTATGTTGGTTGCTATATGTACTATTGTGGCATGGGAATATACAATATACTGCAGTGCTCATCTTTCCTACATCACAAGTGATAACTGAGCCCTGGCAAGGAAAATTTGGAATACCAGAGAGGAGGGAATTTGGGATAAGATGCCCTGCTGAGCTGGACTTCTATTACAGAGAAGCATCATTTCCTAGCAACTCTCACTGTAGAGATAAATGTCATCATATCTGGCTTCTTACTTAAAGGGGTAACATCTGGAAATTATACTAAAGAATAAAATATTGAAGATTAACTATATGTATGCTTATATGCAAGTGTATGCTTTCTCTATTCTGATTGACAAATGCAAAGGGTGAAGCTTATACCCATGATTGACAGGGAGCCCACTGCAGGTTAAATATATGGATTTCTATATTTAATTTATCACTCCTCAAAAAAGCATACATGTTAAAAATAGCGATAAGTAAACTTAATAGTAAAAATCCTGGAAAGTGATAAAGTTCCCCTTTAACTACCACATGAATTATGCCAGAGTAATGCTTTATAGTACACTAAAGTCAGACAGCAAAACAACAGGTTCACTGCTCCCATACCACTTTAATGAGATTCCTGCTCTCGGCAGACACTATACATCACTGAGGCTTCAAACTGACAGCACCCCCAGTACTTTTATTTGTGCACATATATAGAAACAGGACCATCCTTGCTTTAATTAATGTTCTTTTGTAGAAGACACCCCTCCCCTCCATTTTAAGTCTTCACTTTGATATTGTTGCTGGGTTAATATTCTCAAGAATGTTATGTCAAACAGGTCTTTGATTTTGTATCACTCAAAAAATTTCCAATAAAAGACCAGTTTGCAAAATCAATACTTGAGTGTGAAAACTCAAAAAGTGTTGAAAAGAAGCTTCTTTTCGAGAAAGTCTTGCTCCCAGAATGCACAACTGTCAACTGATGTATCATAATGGAATTAAACATTTATTCAGTTGTAATTTCTTGTGTTAGCAACTTTTTTTTGCTTTTCTCTTTACTAATCTATAATCGAACGACTAATTTTATAACTAATTTATGTTTAGAGAATCTCATAATATATAATCAACAATGAATCACAAATTTAGAGGCTTTGCTTAGAACATGATTATTCACTAAAGTGATTTCAAAGTGAATTTTACATTTTAAAGAAGTCTATAGTGTCAGGAATACAAACATGTATTTCTGACAATGTAGCTCTAATAGTGCCGTTTAGTTGGCCGGCCCTAGTTTCCCTGTATTAAAAACAACCTTTTTCCAGCGCCACGCATGTCTCTTTGTGGCTGGCTCCATCCTCTTGGCTAGGGCAGCACAAAACCAGGATACACCACTGTGTGTGGCAAAATGCCACGCTGCACCAATCAGCATCCCCTCATAGAGATGCACTGAATCACTGCATCTCTATGGTGGACATTCAGCGCTGCGCAGCATGCAGCACTGACCCAAGAAGCACCTCTAGTGGCTGCCTGAGTAACTGCCACTAGAGGTGTTACGAGGCACAATGTAAACACTGCAAGGTTTATGCACAGTTGCAAGACTCTGGAGGACTCTACACCTTGATGTCCGTGGGACTCCAGAGGCACCAGCAGCTTCAAATATATTTTGGTATTTTAGCAGCTGCTCTCTTCATCCGATGCATGGATCTGGCAGAAATCTTTCTCAATGTGCCTTAATCTGCACGAACCCGTCTGTGCTCTGAATCAGCCACAAATCTCTTAATAGTGCGATGATCACGCTTACGTTTTCGTGAAATATCTAATGTTTTCACACCTCGTCCAAGGCATTGAACTATTTCACTCTTTTCGGCAGCAGAGAGATCCTTTTTCTTCCCCATATTGCATGAAAATAATGCTCTGCTTAATAATGTGGAACACCCTCCTTTAGTAGTTTTTCCTTAAATTGGGCTCACCTGGCAATCTAATTATCACAGGTGTCCGAGATTGTTTTCAGTGATCAAAAGAGCCCTGAGACACAATGCCATCCATGAGTTAAACTGAAAAACAAAATATTTAATCTTTGTGACACTTAAATAGAATTTGTATAATAATTTGGAACAGGATGTATTTGTGTTCAGCAAAGTCTTCCGAGTAAAACAGTACCCCCCATGTACAGGTTTTATGGTGTCTTGGAAAGTTACAAGGTTCAATATAGTGCTAGCAAATTAAATTCCCTGGACTTTCGGCCTGGGTTGTCAGACAGGTCCTGGAAATTGTAATTAATAAAATGACCTAATTATGTAAAATTATTACAAAAATATATACGTATATTTATTATATATATAAAAATAATTTTTTTTAAATTGACATTTATTTGTTATATTATATATATATATATATATATATATATAATTATATATATTTAATCAATATCATTCTACGTGTATTTTGATATTAATATACATATATAATTATATTTATATTAAAATACAGTTAGACATTGTATGTGTATATATATGCTGTGGACAGCTATACTATTCATGTGATCGTGAGGTCCTCGCCAGGACCTCGAGATCACATGGCCCAGGAGGGCCGAAACAGGGGCAGGGGGACTCCCTGGGATGCCAGGTGAGTCCCCCAACCGCGATTGCCGGCGATCCCACGATCACATGGATAGTTCCCAATGGGTAAGTGAATCGATCCCAATGGGTAAGTGAATAGGACGGCGGGGACGTGCTATGCCGCCCCCCAGCGTTTAGAGCCGGGTCACCAAGGATGGCACAGCACGCCCTCCTTTAGGGGTTAAAATGTACTTGTCCCAGTACCTGTGAATTTAATTGGACTGCTTATGCCACAGAGTGGAAATTAAACGTGTATTCTGGATTCTCACCCAGTCTCCACTCCTTCAAAAAATCATTAAAAACCCACTTCTTCATAAAAGCGTATCAATTAAATTATTAATAGCTCCCGACTGATTCCTCTCTTGCAACTGTCACTAGTCCAACACTATCCTTACCGTTTTGTGTCACTTTACCCCACTCCCTCTAGCATGTAAGCTCATTGAGCAGGGCCCTCAACCCCTCTGTTCCTGCATGTCCAACTTGTCTGGTTACAACTACATGTCTGTTCGTCCACCCATTGTAAAGTGCTGTGGAATTTTGATGGCGCTATATAAATAACATAATAATAATAACAACAACGTGTAATTAAAAGACTTCTCGAAGGGGCAGAGCTTTACACCATCTCTGAGTGCTCCGTAACAAACTACTCGGTTTACCGAGATATTCGTGCATTACCGAGCCCTCTGAACCACACCCCCCCCCACCAGCACCTTGATGGTGAGCTGAACTGATCAATGTCTTTCTTCCAGGCATCGAAACAACCTAAGCAGAGGCGAATGTCTGCGGCCTACTACATGCCGCCATTCCGGGACCTGGGGACACTGCTTGGCCGGACTTCCGCGGAAAGGTCGAAGGACGCACCTTCGTATGCAGACACTACCCCAGCCACCAATATGCCGGCGAAAGCACGCCGCTCGCACAAGCCAACTGTTGCGGCAGCTGGCAGGGACATAGGGGAGATGCTGCAGCGGGCAGCACTACTCGGTCCTACTCCTGTGGAAGACCCTTCTGAGCCCCCTGCACCACCCTTAACTCCCATGCTGGTGAGGCAGGGCAACACCACCACGGCAGAAAATCCGATGGGTCAGCCCCAAGAGTCCAATGATGACTCGGCCCGTATCACAAAACGGGACCTCAAGATACTACTGGCTGACATACAAAAATTGCTGGCCGCAGATGTGAAACTTGTCAAGCTTGACATCCAAAAAGTCACAGAACCGCGGAGGAAGATATAATGAAAGTACAATCCAACCTGTCTTCCCTCAAGTTCAACAGCAACAAACTGAACACTATCTACGAGGGCACTATCAACACGCATGAATGCTTAGGAGGATCGGCAACGCTGAACCCACATAAAAATCTGAGGTATACCTGCTGCAGTCTCGGCTGAAGAATTGCTGCATTGTATCTGACGCTTATTAACTACTTTACTGACACAAGAAAATAGCCATAGATGGAATTTACTGCATCTCAGGCTCCGCTAGATCTCCCACCAATATGGTCAGGGACGTGATCCTGCGCTGTGTTTTGGTCCAAGGCAAAATCCAAATCATGATGGCCCTGAAGGGCAACACATCACAGGCCTTTGAAGGCACCCACCTCTCCTTCTTTCTTACCTTACCAGAACAACTTTGTAATGGAGAAAGTCCTTTGATCCAGTCACAGCCGATTGAGAAATGCTGGTGTGACCTATAGATGGGGAATGAATGGCTCCCTACAAACAAACCACAATGGGACCATGCGCACTCTAACCTCACCAGAAGCAGTGACTGCCTTCATGGCAGCGCTGGGCCTGCCCGACTTGCCTGCAATCCAGCACCCAGAGTCACCTCGAGATCTATGGGACCCAACGAACATCACCATCTTCATGCCAAAAGCGGGACCTTCCCAAGACCCAGCAACCTGACTCAAGATGGAAACTATGCTAGCCCACCAGGCATGCAAGCCTCCTGGATGCACTACCAAGGAGCACTAACACTCACGTTCTATACACTCGTGACTCACTTACAAGAGTAATATTCTATTTCTGATTTTCACCTTTTTCCATATACCCTATATACTCGAGTATAAGCCGAGTTTTTCAGCACATTTTTTGTGCTGAAAAACCCCCACTCGGCTTATACTCGAGTCAAGGTCTGTATTGTGGCAATTTACATTCTGTTGGGGGCTGACAGTGAGCTGTTACTTACCTTCCTGCAGCTCCTGTCAGCTCCCTTCTCCTCCGTGCAGCTCCCCTGTCAGCTCCGTTCTGCTCACAGTGTAACTCTCGCGAGACCCGCACTTACACTGTAAGCAGAACGGAGCTGCCAGCCCCCCCCACTGAACAGCCAATGCCAAAAAATAATAATAATAATAATAAAATAATATTCTTAAAATATAATATTAAAATTAAAAATTTAAATAAAAATTCCCTCCCCTCACCCAGTTTACACACACTGCACAAACATACACACTGCATTCACACAAACACACACTGCATTATATACACACTGCATTCATTATATACACACACAACAAACAAACACACACACTGCATTCATTATATACACACACAAACACACACTATGCATTCATTATATACACACACAAACACACACTCTGCATTCATTCTATACACACACTGTAAATAAATATTAAATTAATGTAATTTTATTGGGAACTAATTTTATTTAGAAATTTACCAGTAGCTGCTGCATTTCCCACCCTAGGCTTATACTCGAGTCAATACGTTTTCCCAGTTTTTTGTGGTAAAATTAGGGGCCTCGGCTTATATTCAGGTCGGCTTACACTCAAGTATATATATATATATATATATATATATATATATATATATACACACATATATATATATATATATATATATATATATATATTTAATTTTTTCCCCTTTAATTTATTTTTTAGACATTTTTTTTTCTCTTCACTACTTGCTCTCAAGGGTTACTAAACGTAAACTCAGGCTACATACTATAAACGGAGCAAGTTTTGGTACCGGACAATCCTTAGTGGATATTGTAGAGCCTGCTAACTCCGCGACGATAGGTATAGCCACCTACATTCCAACCCTGCCTCTAGCTCTTTGGTTCACAGATTAACCAAAGGTCCTGAACAAATAGGTGCTTCTGCTGCTGGTTGGTACTTAAGAGTTCAAATGAGACAGTTGCTTTGCAAAAACATAATCCACAGAATAGGATTTCACGTTCAGAACCAGTGCAAATGCCTAAAATAATTGCTCTGGCTTACCCCCACCCCCATCACATCAGTCCTCCCTTTTAATTCATTTACAAAGTATGATAATTGCTGGCAAATCTTGCAGCATATCAAATGTAATTTATTACTCTGTCTTAATGTGATGTCGATAAATATTTAAAGCTTTATGTGCCTTTTGCATAGTCAATTTCTGGTCCTTTCTGACAAAGCTAATCTATGTTGTTGTGTTTACTTTAATATATTACAAGAACATTATAGGCACCAAGACAACTTTATCTTAATGGAGTGGTTTTGGTGCATAGATTATGCCCCTGCACTCCCATTGCTAAATCCTCTGCCATTTATGAATTAATTCATTTTGTTTATGCAGCCCTAGTCACACCTCCCTGTATGTGACTTGCACAGTTTTCCTAAACACTTACTGAAAAAGGATATCTAATGTTTTATATGTCATATCATCAGTGGAACTACTGCTAGGACTTGCATATTCAGGGGGCCCATCATATGGCCCATGTACTGGTTGTGCACTGTGGTCTTTTAATATTGCCACTGGGTCCCTGTGATCTTGGCAGTGCTTGGTGGAAATGACAGCTGGTTACTTCCTCCCAGATTGCAAATATGGAGCTATGTGGGATTTATCAATTAGTACGATGTGTATTTAAAGTTAAGTTGTAGCAATGGTCCTCATCCTGAAGAAGTGGGGCTATTTCCCCACGAAACGAGTAAGACATCACGCTCAATCAAGATTCAGATCCTGGCAGCAACCAGCAGCAGAAGCACCTATTTGATCAGGACCTTTGGTTAATCTGTGAACCGAGACCGTCAGTTGTGTACGTCCCCCGGAGTGAGGTCCGTGCTGGGACGTGCATACCGACCTGCACGCCGTCCTCAACCAGCAGCCGGATTCCAGAATACCAACTGCCAGCTCAATCCATCACCATCCTGGCTCAATCCGAGGGTCTTTGAACTTTTTTGGACTTCACTAGACTGGTAACCTATTTCTAACTATGGACTGACCTGTATCTTTGATGAAATTTAAATTTTTGCATTTTTATTCATTCATTTATTAATAAACTGTTTTTTATTATTTAACCCAGTTTTCTCTACCATTGCCCACACTCTTCAATGTCATTCATTGCTACAGCACACAGTTCTATATACTGTAGTGCCATATTATCATTTATATCTTTGTTTAGTACAAAGTAGAGCATTCCGGTGCAAATATCAACTATCTGTTACCCTGTATCTATCCAGGGACAGTTTGTAACTGCACCTTCCAATTATTTGTTACATTCTGGTTGATTATTTTAAAATCTTATTTTTATTACTATTAGTATTTTTAATTTTCACTCTGTCTCTGTTTCAGCAACTTTATTCACAATATTGATTGATAAATCATTTTTTATTATTTTAAATTTTTTTTTTTATTATATCACTCTAGATGTTGTGGACTACACCCCCCATAATGCTCTAACACACATAATGCTGGCAAAGCATCATGGGAGGTGTAGTCCAAAACAACTGCCATGCTGAAGGTTGCCTATGCCTGCTCTAGTTTCTATTTGGGACATATTTAAATTGTTGATCATTATATGTGCATGATTATTAGTATTTTTAGTGTTTTATATATTTCTTAATTCAAAATGGATTTTTTTAAATCAATTTAATTTATTTTTTATATCCTCAATTGTCCTATCAAATTTGTTATATTATATCTTGATATTTTATACTGAGTTTCCATTTATCCTATTCCTCTGCCCTTACTCTCTTCCCTTTCTAATCATGGTTCTTTTGAGCACTGCTCGTTTGAATATCATGGACGCAACAGGGCTAGCGGTACACGCCCCCTGAATAAGAAGGACGATCAAATAGAGCCTAAAACCCCTATTGATGACGCCCGCCGAAAATACTAATGCTAGACGGAACCGGAAGTAATTTGGCTACACGTGATTAGCCGCAATGCGCTGCCATCTTGGGAAGGTCTTTCCGGACACCTATAGATAGAAGCTACCTCTTCCCCAACATTGGATGGGGCGAACAAAAACCGGAACCTCTTTACATGGATAAATGGGTTGGGACTTTGCTTAAGTTTTATTCAAATAAAGTTACTATTTACTTCATACTTGGTCCACATTGGATGTATAAATATGCCATCATAGTTTACAGCCAACTTATATGGCTCTCAATATTATATAAAACCAGAGACTACTATATACCATTGTAACCATCTTTTTCTTTGTATTTATTCATTTATGTAAGTGTTTCTTGTGACATTACACTTGGGTGTGTTTAGACACACTGGGAGATATATATCTTTCTCACACTGTATATTACATATCTTTCTCACACTGTACATCATATTGGATTTTTAGCGCCACTTTTCCACTTTTTTTGTTTCTAGTGAGCCATAGGCATGTAGGGGCATTCAGAAGATTTCAATCTCCGTTATGCTAATATGGGGGTCGTATTGACCCCCATAGATTGAGGGAAGAAATGGGGGCTTATGAAGTGGCTCCCTGCCGCTTCTATCTTTACATATTACAAGGAGGGAGCTGCGCGCCAGTAGCTCCCTCCTTGTAATAAACTGAACGAACGAACAAACACCGATATTCAGTGTTTGTTCGTCTGACAGTTCTATTCATTCATTCGTCCGATTTTCGGACAATAGCAAATGCCCAAGTGTTAAATTGGGCAATGCGCAGGAATTTCACAGCGCTATCTAGTGTGGGCAGATGAGGTGTCCCACAGACCCTTCATCTACCCATACTAAGATGGCGGCTTAGGTCCGGGCACAAAATAAAGATTTTTTAAAAAGGTAATATGGGGGGTGTAGGGGGGAAATTAGATGAGGCATAGAATTAGGGTATGGGTTAGAATTAAGGTTAGGTTTATTAGATTTAGGGTTAGGATTTGGTTTAGAATTAAGGTTTGTTTATGATTAATGAGTTACACTGGGATTAAGACTGTAACTTTGCAAAGGTATACATGTGGGGTTTTGTTTTACTCAGGAGATAATTCTATTACAATGGAACACATGAGATTTCAAAAAAGCATAACAAAAATTAAAAATAAAAATTAATACCACAAAGTTTGAAAAAGTAATGGCATCTTGATAAAGCCCAAAATATATCATGTGAGAGTCGTTTATGGAGTAATTTAAATATGTGAGCTACTAGAATGTCCCAAAGTGCATCATAAACCCATCTTCAATTTGTAATTTCTTTTTAAAACTGCATTGGACAGGTTATAAATTTAACTCTGTATTTTCACAAAAATGTAACAAGGGTATACAAAGGATGTCATTCTGTACTGAGGAGATATAGCTGAGCACAATTTAGTGATTTTTATTACAGTAGCACATTTCAAGTTTAAACCGATAAATTGCAAAGTTCAGCAACATTGCTTTTTGATCCTACGATGTCGGCTCTTCCTATCATTTGTGAAGCAGAATTCACCAAGCGTTGCATCGTTCATCCACTAACAGGGAACGTGAGCTGGGTTTAGACCATCGTGAGACAGGCTAGTTTTACTCAAAGTGCAAAATGCGAAAATAAAATACTACTATAAACCTTTTAAGAAATTGGAACGGTTGGCCTTGTGGCTAAGTTCAAAATTTCAACTGCCCAAAATGAGACATATGCCAATCAAATCCATCTATAAAACGTCTAACTGTAAAACTAAAATGGTATCTTATATGGTGCTGTAGCATTACAGGATAATGGAAAAGGCATACATAGGTGACCTAGTAATCAGAAGATGTAGCTGAACACATAATGGAGTTTTATGCAGTAGTAGCACACATCATGTTTACGAAATACTAATTTAAAAATCTTGCGATATGTGTGTGTTTTACTACAATATTTATCAGATCGTAGACAGCCACTAGAGGTGGAGTTGACCCTGCAAGGTAATTATTGCAGGGTTAAAGGACCACTCTAGGCACCCAGACCACTTCAGCTTAATGAAGTGGTCTGGGTGCCAGGTCCAGCTAGGTTTAACCCATTTTTTCATAAACATAGCAGTTTCAAAGAAACTGCTATGTTTATGAATGGGTTAAGCCTTCCCCTATTTCCTCTAGTGGCTGGCTCATTGACAGCCACTAGAGGCGCTTGCGTGCTTCTCACTGTGATTTTCACAGTGAGAGCATGCCAGCGTCCATAGGAAAGCATTATGAATGCTTTCCTATGTGACCAGCTGAATGCGCACGCAGCTCTTGCCGCGCGTGCGCATTCAGCCGAGGAGGAGGATCGGAGGAGGAGAGCTCTCCGCCCAGCGCTGGAAAAAGGTAAGTTTTAACCCCTTTCCCCCTTCCAGAGCCGGGCGGGAGGGGGTCCCTGAGGGTGGGGGCACCCTCAGGGCACTATAGTGCCAGGAAAACGAGTATGTTTTCCTGGCACTATAGTGGTCCTTTAAACTCACAGCTGAAGCGGTCTGGGTGCCTAGAGTGTTCTTTTAAATATTACTACATACATTATCGGATGAAAGGTCTCCTTTAACGGTTACTAGATCTACATGACAGTACCAACAACATGTACCTTGATTCATGAAAAAAAAATAAGTGATGCTTCTTGCACAAGTTAAAAGCAGATGTTAGGTAGTTTCTACTAACTAGGTGAATAGCGTGAATGAATGAAACTACTGAGCACAGAAGTACCTGCTGTTTAGTGCTCAGAGCATGGGTCCTCAAACTATGGCTTAGAGAGACACTCCGCACAGCAATACAACTTTAATGCAGTTGATTTATGCCTTATATTTTTACATGCTCAAATCTTTATAATTTTTGCATACAAAAAAATAATATGTGCATACATTTGATGTCTTTGCCTGGAGTGAGGGGACGTGGCTAAAGAGGCAGGCATGCAGTGCAGCATTCTGCAAAACATTAACTTTTTTTTTTAAAGCAAAAACTATAATGATTTGAGCATGTAAAAAAAAAAAAAAAAAAAAATACAGCACCAATAAGGCCAAAACCTTTCAAGTTCATTAAAGTTATATTCGTGTGTGGAGTGTCCCTTTAAGAGAACCTGTACAAATAATCCTTGAAAAGTACATCAGGCACTCTTTACCATCACTAAAGTGGTCACATTTCTGTTGAAGTCCCTCTCACATGTGACTGAGTGAAGTTTCTCAGAAATCTCAATCATGTATTACTAGAGACTATCTAGGCATCTTCTTTAAGGCTCAATATAACCTTCAAAGCTTTTTTATGGTCAGAAATCTCACCAGTAAAGTCCCATGAGAAAAGCCCTAGAGGGAATTTCAACATGAAAAACTAAAGTCTCAAATGCTTCAGTATTTTATTTTCATAAGACTTGCTCTATTACGTTTTCTCTACAGTGTGTAATGAACATGTTTTTTTCCCCCCAAATGAAATTACCTGGAGGGTCTGTTTTTAAAAAAATTAAAAGTTAATTTAAATCAAAGGTTTGGGAGCTAACATGCATCAATCATTGAAAATGAATCTTTTCTGAGCAGTTGCTAAAGGCATATGTCTGGTGCCTACTCAACGACAGCAGAATAATATTTGTACTGGGCATATTTCCATCGATACTGATTACAGCGAATGGATAATATGTTTGGACACTACCAGTTACTACACTATAAAACTGAGGAATCCATTCAAAAGACCAAAAATTACAGAATGCCTAGTCGTTTAGTATCCTTTGCTGTAGCAGTTTAAAGAGGAAAAATGCTGATTTACATTAAATAAAACAAAAAACGAATCTAAGATTTGTAGAATACATTTTAACTGTTGTATCTTGCAATGCTATTCTCCAGAACTGTCTTGTTTTATCGGGTTTATTCACTAAATACAGAACTGAGGTGAATTGAAAATCGATTCCCATAATTTAGGATAAATAACAAAACTGTGATATTGTCAATTTGGAGACTTTTTCCAAATCAACACTTTTTGTTTTCAATTCATTACGTAGCGTGAATAAACCAATTGTTACCTCACTAGTAATTTTAAAATAATCTATTTAGTGATAAAACTACAAACAGCTTAAAATAGTTGTCTATTTCTTTATCAAATTCTGGCTATATTTTACACACATATTTTAAAATGTTGCATTTGAGAAGGGAAAATCATGGGCTTTGCTTACATGTAGCACAATATGTATTGGGTAGAAAATTGAACTTTGCTTCAACTAGCACAGCTCTGTAATGATGTAGCAATGTGTCACATCCTGGCACCAAGAGGGTGCTGTGACAATCCATTCTAGCACAGTCACTGTCCAAATACTGTCATATGTCACTAAACAACAGGGTTGTTGTAAATGCCCAGATGAAAATTTAGAAAAGGCAACTTCTATGGGAAGGGACTGGGTACTAGTTACAATAAAAGCAGGTGGAGTTTCTTTGGGCAATCCTAAGCATTTGTGGAGCCCTGGGGAACATATTTGCAAAGCCCTACACAATATATAAATGCTCCTCGTGCTGTTTCCTTTACCCTTCCCATTTCTATTTAACAGCCCCTCCAGCAGTATATGATTTAACCCGTTGTCATCTCTTCATTCATTCATCCACATTCAAACAAACAACCTCTTAAACATCTTTCTAGGTGATTGACCTCTCCCCCAATATCTACTCAAACATTTCTCAAAAGCAGTTGCTGCAACCCCAATTCCCCCTGCCCCCTCCCCCCCCCATTTTTTTTTCCAACCAAGAAGGGGAATCAGCCTAGCTACAGAATGAGGTGTGAGCATTTCTTTGGTACCCACACACTGCTCTGTGTTGGCTGAAATGGGTTCAATTATACTATGGGCACATCATGATGTGACATGGATGCTATTCTATTAGGTTTTTGTTTTTTTAAACTGTCCAACTAAACATTGATACACTTCTGTCACTCTGGAAGGTCATTAACCATTGTCAGAATAGATTACTAAAAACTGCATGCATTGATTTTTGATCTTGAAAGACAGAAAGCTAATTTGATGTTCCGTTAACACTCTCTACAGCTAACATACACATTATTAATTATGAAGACTTTTTTTTTGAGGTTTCATGAGATCAGCCTAGTTCTCGAATCTTATGATGTTTAGACAACTTTAAATTTACCATTTAGTGACTAAGCTTCACAGAGTATTGCAAACCTTTCTGTGCTGCATGCAAGAGAAATGTTGTAACAGCTCTCCCCCTTGTGGTAGTATAGATGAAATGCAGAATTACATTGTTAAAAACAGTGTGGGATATTTATCCAAGTGTTCGGTTCTAAAAAGTAGTGCTAACATCTCAAAGTGGAGGAGTCACCAATGGAATATACCTACTGGTTCCCTCTGTGATTGCTCCACTATTATTACTTTACACCACTTTTAGAATAGAACACTTTACATCTTTGCTGCACAAGCTCTTTCAAACTCTCTGGCCATCACCTTCAAATTCCCTCTATTCTCTCTTCTCAACTCCCCATCATAACCTTTAGATTGTAAGCTCATGGGCTGTTAAGTTAATAGCTTTGCATTAAACAGCTAAAGTACTAGATCTTTGCCCATGGGCAGGATCCTCGATTCCTTTTCTACTAGTTCATCTATATTGTCTGTTATCTCAACTGTACAGTTCCAAAGAATATGTTGGTGCTTTATAAATGTTAGTAATAATAAGAAACACATATATCAAATACATACACAAAATTAGACAATTTGTTTTCTGAAAGTTATAATACATACATTTAGCTTAAAATGGAATGTATTCTTTATACTATATCAATTTGTGCAGGAAGCACTGTTATATTGCTGCCTTTCAGTTCTATATATTTCTGTATTTATGATTGAGGAAGTACCTTATTGGCACATAACATCTTTCCTACTGTGCCCCCCCCCAACCCTCCTTCTAGGCACTGTTTGTATTTAACCTTTTTATTTATGTTGGGTGGAATAAAAGGTATGATTCTCATTTCCACAACAGAGATTGGATTTTTGTTTATGTCAGAGGCACAGTGGTAAAAGATGGCCAGACGTATTACCGAACCTTAGAGTGGATTGTCTTAAATGCTCAGCTCCACTTCCTCATTAGCAATGTCAAACTTTGTCCAAATACGGCTTTGATTAGCTGAGAGCATACATGGATGAAATTCACATTGTAATGTAACTTCCTCTTCAGCAACATGACAAGCAAGGGGCCAGACCAGTGGCCAGTACAATGGTGAGGTTATGGTGCTTACTGAAAGCAGTAAGGTGTATTGTTAGCGTTGGACTCACCTAAAAGGTTTGCTTTGGAATAGGCAGGTGAACTTTAATGGCTAATGCAGTGATTTGTCAGATAGCCTGACGGACTAAATGAAAACCATTTGTTAATGGGGCTAATGAATACCATAGTCATTGCTGCCACCCAAGACAAGATTGAGTTTCACGGAAACTCATGTCATGTAAATATGTATTTCAAAAATGTAAACCACTGATAATTTTAGTAGAATAAAAGCAAAACCCATGACAAACCTTTAGTGCAAAAATGTCAACACTGACAGTCCTACTTTAATATGCCCATATTCTAAATAAATCTCAACAGCCAAACTCCTACCCATCCCTAAACACTATACCCCAAAAGTGTTCTTTCTTGATAAATGACAAATTTCATCCTTCCATTTCAACATGCACCAATACCTTTCTGACTTGTATGTACATTCTAAGTTGTATTTGAACATTTTTTAAATGACTGCTAATCACTATTAGATGTGATAATTACCTGTGAAATAACATATATTGTGCCTCTCATGTAATTTTTGTGCTTTTTATCCTTGTGCTTTTCACTTCATTTTTCAGGTAGTAAATGTGGCGGCCTGCCAGGGTATCACAGCCACCGATGCCTTTTTGCCAATAAACAAACAAAAATAATCCCAAAGGTAAAATATTGCTGGTGTCCTATAACCCCCTCTCCCCCCCCACACACACACACACGAGCCAAGGCTTAATGCTGGGAGAAGACTGCTTTATTTGGAGCAACACACAGCTTTTTATGCAAAAGCCCCAACATAGGGTTTCTAACATAGGAAAACAGGGAAATCCATCCCATGATCCTCTGTGTCTGAGAGATAATTATTATCGGAATACACATCGCTAATTATATTATCTCTCACGGACAGAAAAATCATACATTTCTTAACCACCCCAAAAGTACCACTAAAATACATGTAAACCCCACAAAAGTCACATCCACAGATAGCATGGATCTGGGCGAACAATCTATCCAAAATTGACCGAGATCCGTTTGGTAGTTTTGGTTTGCCATCGCGGAGAGAAGTTCTGATCGGTCTGCCAGGAGGTTGAAGCCCAAAATAGTTCCAGGGAAATTGTGGCAAGAACCGGTCTCCATTCATGGGGTTTTGTACGAAAACCACATAAGGTAGATGAAAGCTGATTCATGTAGAATGCTCCCTGTGTTTGGTAGTCTGTAACTCCCGAACGCCGTTCGTATAGGTGAACTGTAACTGGAATATGTAGTAGGTCCATGGTGACTGGTGTTCGTGGGAGTGCCTGGCCAAAATGAGTTCCAGGCACTCGACGACTAAGTCCCACTGCTAGCGTTCGTGAGACAAAATAGCTGCCATCCATTGTCCCAACCACGTGAGTTTACATGCACTAAATGGCGGCCACCCAGTGGAGCATTCTATTAATCATTTCCTTCGTGGTTGTCGTACAGAATACTCAACATTCCACGTTCTAATGGGTCCCTGGGGTGGTCTTTGTTCGGGAACCAAACAAAATAAATAAAGCAAAATTAAATACAAATCTGTTGTACGAAAGGAGCCAAAAGTGATGGGGTATTCCTTCACAGTAAATACCTGTAAACCATACAAATAAAAACAAAAAACAAACCATGGGTGATAACAAATCTGATCCACTTCTAACATGTGCTTTGATATAAACTCATTCTAGCAGTGAAGCAGTTATGTATTTTCTATTGAAAGATGACATCTTACTAGTCCTTGGAGTGTTTTATTTGTGACTAATGGCAATTTTTCCACAGCCATTTGCAGATTCTCACACTGAAAGTTTGACAAATAGCTTTGTGATTATATGTTGATAAATACCATCAAGCATTTCAGTGCTTGCTCATTTTAATAATGCAGACTTCTCCATACTGGTCTACACTGCAATAACAAACAATTTGTAGACAATGATGAATTGTCTTGAGATAACAAGAGAATGGAACACGCATAGATTATATCAATGAATCAAAATGACAGGCAACCATAAAATAGAGATAGATCCCATATTGGGAAATGTAGTTTGTCTCAGATTCCCTAATGACATTGGATTAAGTTTTACAGACACCTTTGGGTTAATGATAAGGAACAATTCTTTTACATGATATTTTAATGTAAAACTACACAAACTGTTAAAATATCTGGTGAAGGATCTGATTCCATTTCTGGGCTTAGCAACTTAACGTACTGTCAGAATACTATTCTATTACACCAGTTAAAACACAATAACATGGTAAAAACACTAATTTATCACACATTATAAATTAGAAGGAAAAAAACAAAAAGCTTCATAGGCTAATGCTACATCTAGAACCTAACAAAAACATTTTCTATAATAAGAGCAAAAAAGTACAAAAAGGTTATGGTTTAAAAATGATCTGTTCTGGTCCAGGTCAGTAATGCAGTTCAATTTGCAGGATATATATATCTTCAACTGGGCGAAATAGTGTTAGAGTGCCAGGGCTAAGGGGGACAGGAACACTGCACTCAGACCACTTACATAAAATGAGCACCTATAGTGTCTCTTGAAATGGGAGGTGTGTCTCCACTGAGGAGGTGCAACAGGGTTAGTTGTGATGTTAACATTTTTGTAATTGTTTTTAAAAAAAAAACTTTTTATTGAGTTAAGATACAGTTGACTCGCGATATCCAGACAATCAAAAATCATGTTTGGTAAAATGAAGACTGCTGTTATTGTGCGCGGCTGTGTTTGGTAAAATGAAGACTAACTGTCTGTGAAGTTTAATCTTGTACCAAACCCCCGTACTGGAAATCACTCACACAACACTTGCTTACAACAATCGCAAGAACAGTAGAAGAGCAGTCACACGATAACTTCGCAAAAACAACTTTTTATTGTTGGTCTGAATGACGGCAACATTGTTTTTTTTTTTTCAAGACAATTTAATTTTAATTATTGCTAGCTTAGTTGACAACGTCTCTCTCCTCTTCAATGCTAGACGTTGTTTCATTATTAACTCCGCTAAGAGAAAATGTAAAAAAAAAAAACACAAAAGGAAGTATAGTGACGAATATGTTAAATATGGATTAACATGCATTGACTGTGATGGAATTGAAAAACCGTAGTGCTTTTATGCGCAAAACTTTCTAATATATTGTAAGAATACAATGTACATGTTAGTTATTTAGTCTATCCATTATTAATTGCTTTTGGAAAGGAGGGTAGGTTTGAATTTTAAGTTCACTTTTGGAGGAGTAGTGAGACTAAAAAGATTAAGAACCCCTGCTTTAAATGAAATTATATTACAGTCATAAAAATGTTAACAGTAATAATAAGGGGGGAGGGACCTGACTCTAGAGATGGTTGGACACATTCTCTATCAGCTTCAGTTTTAATCAGCCCTAATTCGACTTATATAAGTATATACAGCTGAAAACAGTATTAAATCAAGAACAAACTGATGCTCCACTGTAGGGACTCTGAGGATCCCATAAACATGTTTTGGAAAGAGTTTATATTGTCCGGCCCTGTGGCCTACCAGGTCTGCCTGCCCTACAGCTAGGAGAGGCAGCCAATCTCCAGCCTGGGAACGTGCGTCCTGAAATAAGTCTGCAACAGCCCCATTACACCTTTCCTCTCCGGACCTGTGGGTTATATCCCAGTCCCTGCTGGGAACTTTTACCTTGCCTTATTGCACTAGTGGATGCCACTGTGTGGTGGTTCAAAAATAGCCACCTCACAGCAAAAGCCACAGAATCAAGAGGATCCAGAAAGTTTCATTGGGACAAACCCTTCTGCCTACACTGGAGGGCAAGCTATCCTCCAGGCAGGATGCAATATTTGCAGACTTTTTGTGCAGATTGGCTCGGCGTCTGCAGAAATCTGCTAAAAAAAGATGCAAAGCGACGAGTCATCCCCAAGTTGCCTTGATGTGCACAAAATCACTGCTAGGACCGAGACCTAATACTGCCAAAGCCAACCTCCTGGTGTTACCTCTCCTGCTCAACCTCTGACCCACGTTGTGTCTGAGATTGCCCCATTTTTTTCCAGGCGGGGGGTCCATATGGAATTATATCCAACTCGCCATCCCTGCACACTGAGGGGTTTATGGGATTCAGAGCTTCCGAGGGCCCATGGTCCTACTACACACAGCAGGGGGAACCATGAATATAGGGAAGTAACTCTCATTAAGGCCTGGGGCTCGAAGATTTGTGTGGTCCAAGCACTACAGCTCAAGATGCGATCAGCGCCTGAAAAAAACTGCGTTTTCCACTGGGTCCTAAAGGAGTGCCACAGGATGTATAGTATCCAGCATGGCGATAAACCTTCACCCATGGCCAAGTCGTGGTGTCGGCTGAAAGCGAACTGTGGATGTTATCCTTCTATAGTCTTCAGCATTACAGAGTTTAGTTTTACCTTGCATTTATTTTATTTGTTCCCAGTGGTACATATAGTTTGCGTAATACATCACCTTAACTTTATATTTACCTAGATATCTCCTACTCTGTTGAATCATGCAAATAAGGGACGCTTCACTTGGATTTTGTATTCAGACTAGTATGCCTAGCTTGTTATATTTTCTTGTTCTCGACTACTCTATTATTAAATACACATATCTACTTAGCCTGTTTCTATTACTTTTCTTTAATATCTAAAAATGAAGCAGCCTTCGATAGGGGTTTACTTCCTTGTGCTTATTGAACTTGCAATGTTATTGTCTTTATCTAGGTTATGCTTGTACACACACACATCTGAATGCTTGATATAGCTCCGTACTGCATTTAATGTACTTTTCAATGCCTCGATAAAAAGAGAAAAACAAAAAAACAGTAATAATCAGGAGATAAATAAAAATACCTTTCTTGTACATCTTTCATGAGATGCTGTAGATCTACTTCTTGCTTCCTGAGGGTGCCAAAAGAAGATTGACTTTCAATACATTCTACCCCAGCAACGCTCATGTGAAGGGCCCCAACATCTGCTCCGATGTTCCCTCTGATGACATCACCGCATGTCTCTTCATATCTCACAAACTCTGATTCCACTACAACTGGAAAAGAAAAAAAAAAATTTTTTGTGGGTTTTAAACTGCTATATTTATTTTATTAAGATTCACCACATGGACCTCTTCCTCCATCCTTTGAGCCTCTATAAAGTGATCATAAAAAGCAGGAGTTCATTCTATTTGTATGTACTAGCAGGGGAAAAGACAAATGATGCTGAAGTGGGAATATGAGAAGAGAGTTGTTTTGCATAAATGTGGATACACATGAATAATAGATGAGTTTACATAAAAGCAGACCTGACACAAGAGAAAACTAAACCTTTCCTGATCAAACCATGGCAGCATTATGTGACTGACAGTTCCTAATCCAGACATCAGCAAGGATGGCACAGGGAAGGATCCAGAGCCCAAACCTGAAATATGCACTGCTGGATTTTGGACAAATTCTAAAAGATCGACACATACATCCATACAAAATACAGATACACGAATTTAGAAATATGCATACAGTGACATATAACTGCACACATTTAGGCATGCAGTTTCTGAAGCACTGATTCCTGTCTGACAAGTCAAATAGCATGTAGCAAGTGGTGACACAAGCACATTTTAACAACTTGGAAGCATTTCTTTGGGAACAGAATGGAGGTGACCCCTCAGTCAGCCCCTGCTTCCAGCCAGACATGAATTCTCCTGTCTTCTATTAATTAGTCCACTTAGGACTGTTCACTCCCTTTTAGATAGTATTTTACTGTATTGTAAAGGTAGATGAAAAATCCAGACACTCAATGTATCTTAATTTGTGCAGACTTTATTTTAGGAACGAGAGGCATTAAACTAACAAAGTTTCAGCCAAACAGGCCTTTGTCAAGTCACGTAACTGTTGTCCGTTTAATGCCTGTGGTTCGTAATAAGGTCTGCATAAATTAAGATACCGTATATACTCGAGTATAAGCCAACCCGAATATAAACCAAATATAAACCTAATTTTATCACAAAAGGCTGGGAAAACTTATTGACTCGAGTATAAGCCCTTTTTCCTTTTTTTAATTTTTTTTTACTGAAGTTTTCTTGTATAAAGTAAATGTCAATTCTGATGCAGATGGGTATTAAATGTAATTTTAGATCTGTGAAATGGGTTGTATATTCTTGATTCCTACTCTGGAAAATATGTATCTGGCATCGTGGTACACAATGATGTCACATGCAGTGAGATTGTATTCCATTTAAAATACAATTCCCACCCTACAATTCATCTACAATGTATAAAACATGCAGTGACCGATGTTATGCATTATCTGTGTGTGTGTGGCGTCCTCCTTTCCCCTGGGAATCTAAATATCTTGGTGAAATTTGTGTCTGGTCAGTGGAATTGGTATGTAGAAAGGTCAGATGTGATCACCTACCAGAGAGTGGAATAAGGTTGGATAAAACTGACAGACTTGTGCCTAAAGGCACCAGAGTTATAAATCTAGTCTGATATGTTCTATGTTCGTTATTAGTGCGTACACCTTATTGTTACACAGCATAATGTGCTCATTTCAGTGGACATGCTCTTAATATTTAATGTTAATTACGCTGTCTATACTTCAATGGAGTAGAGAGAGTGTGTTGTGCCTCAAGCTCTTTAGCTTAATGTTTCCTTTAGAATAAACTTATAATAGACAATGAATATCTAATAAATATTACCTTGCAGAAGAAACATGTATATGGATAGTTATAATGGAATCTTGACAGACGAACAATGCATTTTACCTTCTTGGGACACTGCTAAACCCTTTCCGTCCCTTTATCATAAAAAATCTTTTGCAATCACCAATGTTCCTTGAAAGTAATTTTAGTCATGGGACCCCCCACAGAGGCTGCTGGCGCCCGCAGATGAGCAGGAGAGACTGGAGAACACCCGCACTGCACCGGAGAACAGGTAAGTTTAACCCTCACTCGAGTATAAGCCGAGTGGGACTTTTTCAACATAAAAAATGTGCTGAAAAAGTCAGCTTATACACGAGTATATACGGTACATATGCAGTTCCTAACACTAAGATGTCCCCCTGTCTCCGCAGCTCCCGCCTAGTATCTCCCCTTGTCATGAAAGGATCAAATAACCTTTTAAACACTTACCTGATTCAAGCGCTGAGGTCCCTCCTCCGTCAGCAGATGAGAGAACCTAATGCACATGCACAGCTACTGCCTTGTGTGCTTTAGGCTTTTCCCCACAGGAAAACAAGGAATCAATGCTTTACTAAGGGGATTTAGAAGAGTTGGACATCCTCATGCAAAACGTGAGGACATCCAGTGTTGTTTCACGAAGTTAAACTCTGTGAAAACAGAGTCTGGTAGATAGCCACCAGAAGCAGTCTTAACCCTGCAATATAAACATTGCAATGTTTTACAATTCAGGGCTAAGGGGACAGGGACACTGCACCCACACTACTTCAATGACATGAAGTGTTTTGGGTACCTATAATGCTTCTCTCTAAGAAGAATCTCACTAGACAAAATTCATCAGTATTGGTGACTTCAATAGATGAAAATTGGACATCAGCGAGCAAACTGTCCAGGTGCTGGGTAGCAGGTAATTTTACTTGTGTCTTTCATTAATTTAAAAAAATGCAATCAGGCTAATAAGCTAAATAGGTTAAGGACACATATTAAAGAAATGGGTTCCTTAAAGGATCACTATAGGGTCAGGAACACAAACATAGATTCCTGACCCTATAGTGTTAACACCACCATCTAGTCCCCCTGGGCCCCTCATGCCTCCATTAATATAGTAAAAATCTTACTGTATTCAAACCTGAAGCTGTAACTCTGCATGCTGTTAGACTCAGAAAAACAAGCAGTCTGCTGACATGTGGCAGCCTGATCCAATCACAGTGCTTCCCCATAGGATTGGCTGAGACTGACAAAGAGGCAGATCAGGGGCAGAGCCAGCACAATTCAAACACAGCCCTGGCCAATCAGCATCTCCTCATACAGATGAATTAAATCAATGCATTTCTATGAGGAAAGTTAAGTGTCTGCATGCAGAGAGAGGAGATACTGAATGTTTGGCTGCATTTTAGGCAGCCATGACCCAGGAAGGATCTCGAACAGCCATGTGAGGAGTGGCCAGTGTAGTTATCACTAGGCTGTAATGTAAACACTGCATTTTCTCTGAAAAGACTGTGTTTACAGCAAAAAGCCTGAAGGTAACGATTCTACTCACCAGAACAAATTCAATAAGCTGTAGTTGTTCTGGTGACTATAGTGTCCCTTTAATGTTTTACTGCCTTGAAGTCAGTAGTGTTTGGTTGCCTAGTACAATGTGCCTAATAGTGTGCAAACAAATCCTATGACCAACTGCTCAATTGTAATGTACATGGCTGCCTTGCCACAATTTGTATTTTACAAAGCGCTTTACTGTTACATTGCTTTTTAATTAGTTACTGTTTTTTCCCCGTTTTATTTTCACATACAGTTTTCGTATGCATGAGGAAAATGATAAAGTTAACAGAGATGACAGTCCTTTTTACAGGTGTTTAAAGTTATAAGCTACCCCTGTATCATTGTCCTTCGGTGGTCTTCAACTTACCCACAACCCAAGAAACTCTGAATGTAAAGGTGGTGGTGTAGGGTTTCTCCTCTCCCCTCACTGCTCCTTTGAACCTCTACCCACCCCCCCTTCCCTCTCTTTCCCATCATTTGAAAAACATTCTATTCGCCTTTTCAAACCCTTCTCTGCTAACATTGCTGTTATTTATAGTCCCCTTGGTTCCCCTCTTCTCTTCCTTGACCACTTTGCTGCCTGGCTACCCTATTTCCTCTCTTCTAACATTCCATCCCTAATTCTCAGGGACTTCAATATTCCCATTAACCAACCTTTGACCTCTGCAGCCTCTAAACTACTTTCAATTACTTCCTCCCTCGGGCTATCACAGTGGGCTAATTCTCCCACCCATGTAGCTGGCAATACCCTTGACCAAATCTTCTCTTATGAATGTACAGTATCTAATATCTGCAACACTCCATCTCCTCTCTCTGATCACCACCTCTTATCATTTGCTCTCGTGTACCCCCTTACCCAACAACCTCAGCCTAACCCCCCTCAAGGAGGGACCTTAATTCTCTTGATATCCAGCAGTTGTCAGCTGATATTGATTCACGACTGCTGTCCATCCCTTCCCTCTCCTGTCCTTCACTGGCCATCTCTGCATATAACACTACCCTCACCTCTGCCTTGAACGCTGCAACACCGCTCCAAACAAGCACCTTGAGGAGGACCCGCCCCCAACCGTGGCATACTAAATCAACAAGCTACCTGCAAAGATGATCTCGTTGTGCTGAACGCTCCTGGAGGAAGTCTCGCACCCAGTCAGACTTTCTCCATTATAGATTCATATTGTGTTCATACAGCGCAGCCCTTGCCAAACAGTCCTACTTTTGCTATAGGAGTCAATTCAAGGTACTAATTCACACCTATAAAGCACTGAACAACTCTAGCCCCTCTTATATTTCCTCACAGAGCCCCATGGGAGCAGGGGGAGCCAGGCGGCCGGCACAGCTCACACATGGCCGGCTGGGATGATAAAAATAAAAATAAATTTGCTGTGGGGGCGGGGCTTACGTGCGGCGGGGGCGTGGCTAGCGTGTGGCGGGGGTGGGGCTTACTGTGCGGCGGCGGCCTGGCTGACTGAACAACCAGCCTCCAGGAGCTCCAAGCAGGAGGGAAGAAGGAGGTCAGTGTGTCTGTGTGAGTGTGTGACTGTGAGTGTGTGACTGTCTCTGTGAGAGTGTGACTGTCTGTGTGAGTGTGTGACTGTGTGTGACTGTCTATGTGAGTGTGTGACTGTCTGTGAGTGTGTGACTGTGTGTGTGTGACTGTGTGTGTGACTGTGTGTGACTGTCTGTGTGAGTGTGTGACTGTCTGTGTGAGTGTGTGACTGTCTGTGCGAGTGTGTGACTGTCTCTGTGTGACTGCCTGTGAGTGTGTGACGGTGTGTGACTGTCTCTGTGTGACTGCCTGTGAGTGTGTGACTGTGTGTGACTGTCTGTGTGAGTGTGTGACTGTCTGTGTCTGACTGTCTGTGTGTGTGTGACTGTCTGTGTGTGTGTGACTGTCTGTGAGTGTGTGACTGTCTGTGAGTGTGTGACTGTCTGTGAGAGTGTGTGACTGTCTGTGTGTGAGACTGTGTGAGTGTGTGACTGTCTGTGTGTGAGTGTGTGACTGTGTGACTGTCTGTGTTTGAGTGTGTGACTGTCTGTGTGTGACTGTCTGTGTGTGTGTGACTGTGTGTGTGACGGTCTGCATGTGTGTGACTGTCTGTGTGTGTGAGTGTGCGGCTGTCTGCCTGTCTTTGTATGTGTGGCTGTTTGCCTTGGTGTCAGTGACTGTCTGCCGGTGTGTGTGTGGCTGTCTGCCTGGGTGTCAGTGACTGTCTGCCTCTGTGTGTGTGCGCATCTGCTAGTGAAGGAGCCTCTGTGTGTGTGTGTGCCTGCTAGTGAGTTTGTGTGTGTGTGTGTGCCTGCTATTGAGTGAGCTTGTATGTGTGTCAGTGAGCTTGTCTGTAGGGATCGTGTGTGTGTGTGTTAGTGAGCTTGTCTGTAAGGAGCATGGGTGTGTCGGAGCCTGTCGGTGGTGAGCATGTGTGTACAGTGAGTATGAGTGTGATCGTGAGCTTGTCTGTAGTAACCATATGTGTGTCAGTGAGCTTGTCTGTAGAGAGCATGTGTGTGTCAGTGAGCTTGTCTGTAGTGAATCTGTGTGTTAGTGAGCTCTTCTGTAGGGAGCGTGTGTGTCAATGGGCTTGTCTGTAAGGAGAGTGTGTGCGCATCAGTGAGCTTGTCTGTAGTGAGCGCGTGTGTGTGTGACAGTGAGCTTGTCTATAGTAAGCTTGTGTGTGTGTGTATCAGAGTTTGTCTGTACTAAAGTTGTGTGTGTGCCAGTAACCTTGTCTGTGTGTGTCATTGTCTGTCAATTAGCCTATTTGTGTGCATCAGTAAGATTGTCTGTCTGTGTGTGAGTATGCTTTACTGTAGAATTTAATTACCCTGAAAGAAATAATATTTTGAATTAGATGAAGAAATGTATCAATAAAAAAATTAAATTAAAAAAAAAAATATATATATATATTGTTGCATCACCAAGGCTCCAGTATCCAGTATATATATAGGCAATTGAAATAGTTGGCTGCACTCTCGGATTTCCTTAAAATTTTACTTTTATTGAAATATTTAAGAGAAGATCAACGTTTCAGTCCCTCTTGTGGACTTGCATCAGGATCATGACGAAAGTCCACAAGTGGGACTGAAACATTTCAACTATTTCAATTGTATGTATGTATATATATATATATATATATATATATATATATATATATATATATATATATATATATATATATATATATATAATAAAAACACATAGCACAATGACTTATGGGGCTGGCATAGATTTTTTTCCAGGGCTGCTTAGTATCCCCAGTCCGGCCCTGCTTGCTAACATCCTCCGCTGTGGCTATAGTATAAGTGGAGTATTTTTTCAAACTCAATTTTTGGCCTAAATTTAGCAATTCTGCAATTCGGTGTGCCATTCACTACAATTTAGTCTTTAGTAATAAAACAAAAGACCTTGAATTGGAATCTGAATTGTGACCTGTTGTAAAACATTATACAATTTTTTTTGTTTAGTTTTTAGATGTAGTAAATAATGAAACCTACCTGGTTTTACCGCTTTGTTTTCAACCAGTACATCACTCAGCATACATGTTAATGATGGAAAGTGATACTTTGGTTTTTGCCAAAACCAGAATCGTCTCTTCTTCGACACCACACTAAGAAGTTGTGCCTTATCAGAATCATTGAGACTGGACACTGGTATTAATTCACCTCCGGCATCAATATATTTCAGAAAATTCTTTGTCGCTTTTGCAAACATCTTCAATCATCTGAAGTCCTGAGAAGAAATATATAACAAAAGTAAATACAGTTCCAATGATATTTTGTAACAAGTTTTTGACAGTTTCATTTTTTCTTGCCCAGTAGCCTACTCCTTAAAAAAACAAGAAAGGATACTCCAGGACAATACTGGCTAGAAAGGATAGCACTACACCTAACATAACGAGGAGCATCTTGCTTTGGGGACACAGCCAGGCAGGGAGTAAGCTGAGCTACACAACATTCTCCATGCCTGAAGAAGTGTGGGTGCGCTAGGAGTCCTGGCACTCAGTTGCCAAACTTTAAAGTGAAATCCAAACAGACATTCTGGATGTACTATAGTGGCATTGGTTCTGCTGCACTATGATGAACTAGATGCAAATAATAAGAATTGTGAGGTATGCATGTGGTTAGGATTAAAGATGGGGGTTAAATGGGCAAGCTTTGGAAGCAACAGTTTAAAATGTTTGAGTTGGGAGAAAGTTTAGAAATAGAAGGTTTAGGTGTTAGGGACATTACTGGTAAAACATTAGCCACGGTCATCAACTACCACCAGCTCATAATGGTGGTGATGGGAATATTGAAATAACAATGGGGTAAATATGCTATACTAGATCTACTAAGGAGAGATGCCGGCTGTCCAGATGCAGAATCCCAGGGCTTCAAGGAGTCTTCTAAACATCCCAATTCCTGCTATGTGAGAGAGACGGTGATGAGTAACTCCCACTCTGTGCCAAATCCATCAGAAAATGAGCCTATGGAAATCTTGGATCAAGTGGTCAGTTGCTATTTGATCCTCGCTTCCTCAACCACCCGCATCTTCAGAATGGGGGGCCCAGTTAGATCACTGAATTCTTACGCTGTTGGTTCTGACACTCTGTGGATAAGGAAGCGCATAATAAACTACACACCAAATTCCCCAGGTCTACAGTACCAGATAAGGTGGCCCTCAGGCCAGAGTTTGATCGGGTCTTCGTGACCTTCAACAAAAAGTCAGGTAAGGGCCCTTGCAAGGGTTTGGGACAATGGCTCCGGTTTACCCAGGTCAGATATTCAAATATTCCTGATAGTAGATAAGGCCTTCAATAGCGGGACTCCGTTGGACATACATCTCCTACGGGTGGATATGGAACCCGATGCAAAATGCTTACTCTTTGGGGAAAAGTTCATGAAAGAACTTAAGCGCCATGTGTCATGTGTCCACATACATGTCTCTCAAAAAGGCTCAGCGCTAAGGAAAGTTTTTCACTTTGGGGATCGTTTTTCCTTCCGGCTTGTTGGCAGCAAGGTCACGCCACATGCAGAACTGCCTTCTCAGGCTCTGACAATCTGAATCCTACTCCCCCAAAGTTCCTACTCATGGCTCTTTCTCTACTTGACCAGGTTTACCTAAGATAAGGGTCGTTCACTCTTTCCCACATTCTCCTGATGTGTGCAGATTGTCTCACTTTTTCCCTCAGTAGGCTGAGCTCTTCCAAGATCCATTGGTCTCAAGGTTCTAAGTCAAGTTCCTGTTGAGAATGGTGCAAACGTTCCACATCCAGCTCTGCAGACAGACCGAGGACTCTATGGCATTGATTCATGCGGAGCTGGTCAGCCTCAGGGACATGGGTGTGATTGAACAAGTGTCAGGTCCTCCTTGCGTCCTGCAATATTTTGTTGGTGAAGAAGAAGAATTTCGTCTGGTGATCAACCTCCGGGGTCTTAACGCGTTTGTTGTTTATTGTCACTTCAAGATGGAAGGTATCCTTCTTCTACAAGATTTACTCTGCGAGGGCAAATAGTTCTCCTATCTCAACTTTAAGGATGCTTATCTGATCATTCCGATCCATCCGACAGACAATTTTTAAAATTCTGGTGGAACAGTGGCAATTTACTTTTCTTCCCTTCGGCCTCAGTTCAGCTCCCTGGTGCTTCATCAAACTGATGAGGCCAGTCATGGCATCTCTGGGATTCAGTCCATCGTTTACTTTGACGATATTCTTCTCATCCAGCTACGGGGATGAGGGATACGGTGCGGACAGTTAGATACGGGATACAGTGCAGAGAGTAAGATTTCTCTATGATCTTGGATTCGTCATTAAAGGACCACTCTAGGCACCCAGACCACTTCAGCTTAATGAAGTGGTCTGGGTGCCAGGTCCTTCTAGGCTTAACCCATTTTTTCATAATTATAGCAGTTTCAGAGAAACTGCTATAATTATGAATGGGTTAAGCCTTCCCCCTAATCCTCTAGTGGCTGTCTCATTGACAGCCACTAGAGGCGCTTGCGTGCTTCTCACTGTGAAAATCACAGTGAGAGCACGCCAGCGTCCATAGGAAAGCATTGTAAATGCTTTCCTATGCGACGGGCTGAATGCGCGCGCAGCTCTTGCCGCGCGTGCGCATTCAGCCGGCGGGGCGTAACGGAGGCGGAGAGGAGGAGGAGAGCTCTCCGCCCAGCGCTGGAAAAAGGTAAGTTTTTACCCCTTTCCCCTTCCAGAGCCGGGCGGGAGGGGGTCCCTGAGGGTGGGGGCACCCTCAGGGCACTATAGTGCCAGGAAAACGAGTATGTTTTCCTGGCACTATAGTGGTCCTTTAACATAGAGAAGTGTGCACTAATCCCGTTTCAGTCAGTCCATTTCCTAGGTTTTGCAGTGGATTGTGTTCAAACGGTCCTAAAGCTACTGGCTTCCAGAGTTTCAGCCATTCGCAAGGACATCAGGTGTATGCTCTGTATACCCAGGGTTACACTAAGAAATCTAGCTCAGATGAAAGGCCTCTTGTCTTCCTCCATTCAGGTGATTTTTCCAGGCCCCCAACTTTACCGTGCCATTCAGCACCATCATTGTCTACGGATTTTGTCTTCTTACAATCAGACCATCTCTGTGATGAAAGATGCTGAACTGGAACTCTGATAATTATGAAACACATGAAGGCGTGTACCGGCAGAGCAATCTTCGGTTCCCGCCTGGATTTTGTGCTGGAGTGAGATGCCACCTCCCAAGGTTGGGGTGTGACATGAGACAGCATGGCGATAGGAGGTTTCAGGACTTGGTGGGGAAAAGGGAACTTGATATCAATTGTCTGCAACTGATTGCAGGGAACTTTGTGATTTGCAGTAACAACTCACCTGACTCATTGACCTCTGGTGTTGAGGATGGGCAGTGTGTCTGCAGTTCAATACATAAACCGCTTGGTGGGTATCCGTTTGAAGCCGCTATTAGAACTCACCAGTACCTTTATTAGTAGTGTCTAGACCAGGCCTGTCCAACCTGCGGCCCCCCAGATGTGGCTGAACTACAACTCCCATGATTCGTTCAATGAAACATACAGCCAGGGAATCATGGGAGTTGTAGTTCAGCCACATCTGGGGGGCCGCAGGCTGGACAGCCCTGGTCTAGACAGACACCTCTCCATCAGAGCAAAATAAATTCCGCAACAGGATAATCTGGTGGCGGACTGGTTCTCTTGTCACTGGAGGAACACCAGTGACTGGAGACTTCATCCGGACACATTTTGTCTAAAAAAGTTTGTCTGTGGGGTCCTTTCCACATGGATCTCTTCATTTCCAGGATGAATCATCAAAAAGACAGTTTTTTCAGCTGGCTTCCAGATACTCTCAGTTCAGTGGTGGATGCGTTCCTGCAGACTTGACCTGTGTTGGGGGCGTATGCATTTTCTCCATGATTCTGCTAATTAATCACCTGTTGAAATGCCAATGTGTGACGGTGCTGATGATCACCTTGGCTCCTGGAAATGTCGTTCGACAATCCTCTCTTCTTTCCTCAGTCATATTCCTCTAGAGGGTATTTATTAGCTACTCAGTCTACAGAAACATCTACATTTGGTGGCCTGGTGATCCTGGGATGTGTTGCAATTGTCAAATTGAAATGTTGCACATACAGACTCCAAACACTATGGTCACTTCAGATCACTACAATGGTCATGGAGGTTGGAGTGACCCCTTTAAAGGGATCCTATAGTGCCAGGAAAACCAAGCTGTTTTTATAGGTCCCCGCCTCCTGTTAAAACCGCTTCAGCCACTTACCTGAATCCAGCGCCAATGTCCCTCGGTGCTGTGTCAGGCTCCGCCCATGCATCTCCCCCGCAGACAGCCACTGAGGACAGACTCTCTGAAACTGCAATGTTTAACATTGCAGCATTAAGTGCAAAAGGGACACAGCACCCAGACTATTTCAAATTGCTGAAGTGGTCTGGGTGCCTGCAGTGTCCTTTTAAGACTTAGTAGATTTTTTATTTTAATTAATATTTGACACCAGCTACTCAAGTGATTTAGTGCCTGTGTCAATCTATTAAACACAAACAGACATCACTTTTTCAATTGTTCTATATGTAATTTTTGGTACTTTCACTGGAATATTTTTTTCACTGGTATGTAAGATACACATTTGGATAAATACTATTTTTGTATAACTTTTCTCATAAAATATATTAACATAGCAGGCGCTAGTAAATCAAGCTGAAAGTATGTAGCTCTTACTATCGATGTGGCATATGCAGCTGCTTAACACAGACACTAATAATAAATTTTCATAACTGTTAATGTTTCTGTTTCCAGGCTAGCAGCATATTATCTCATCAGCTGTACATACTTCTCTGAAATTTTACTGCATAAAAATGGCACAGCTAGACATTATTTAAGAAGATAATGAATTATAATGCAAAGTGATTTTGGGTAGAAATGTGGACAATTTGTACATTATTAACTTTATTATTATAACTTTTTCCAGTCTACTTGCAATCAAGCCAGAGGCCAAGAAGGGCCAGGGGGGGAGGGGGGGGGGCACGAGGGGGGTTTGGGCAGAGGGTCCCTATAGTGTTAGGAAAATAGCTGTTTATATCTAACACTATAGAGTTTCTTTACTAGCTTGCTAGACCTTGCATGAGCCTTTATGTGATTAACTCATTTGCGTCGTTAGGACGTGTCATTACGTCCAGAATGGCATGGTCTTTGATGACTTTAGGACTTAAATGTCACGTCCTAATGTCTGGGCCCCTGCAGCCCATTGAATCATACTC